TTACTGGGATGTTCTCCACGTTTGCTTTTGATTTTGGTAGGTGCTATTCCTTTTCTCTGTCAAGAGAACATCTTTCTGTCTCATTTGTAGGGTAGGTCTGGAAGAGGTGAATTCTTTGAGCTTTTCTTTACTGTGGAAGAATTTTATTTAATTTTCAATGACAAAGAAAAGCTTGGTGTGGTTAAGTTATTCTGGGCTGACATTTTTTTCCTTTGTCATTCCATTCTTTTCTGATCTCTAGTTTCCTGTGAGAGGTCAACTGTGAGTCTGATTGGGTTTTCCTCCATGTATTAATTGATTTTTTTTTCAATGTGCATCTTTTACAATCTTTTCCTTGTGTTCAACTGAAGAGGGATTGATTATCGTATGTCGGGTGAAGATTGCTTTTGGTCAACCCCATTGGACGTTCTGTGCCCTCTTACGTTTTGTATCCCAGTTCTTTCTCCCAGGTTCACGCCTTCTCTGCTTGTGTCCTTCTTAGGTTTTAAAAGCACTTAAAGTTCCTGAAGTCTTGCATTGTTCGGTGCAGCTAATTCCCGCAGCCAAATCCTCTTTTCACGATTAGTTTACCTCAAGCCGAAGCACCGGATGCAATGAGATATTAGGAGGTCCTTTTATTCCAGTGGGGTAGGAATGGGAGCAGGGGTGAGGAGGGGGAAACAGGAAGGGACACATCTCCTGCCAGGATGGTAGGTGGGGGCTGCGAGGGCAAGGGAAAGGGGCAGGATGGAAGGGGTGGGGGAGAACCAGAGAAGGAAAGGGAAGAGAGAGGGGGGAGGAAGAAGGGAAGGTCTTTGTGGGCTGTGAGCCTGCCCCAGGCAATGGTGGCTGAAATGATCTGAGAGATCTGAGAGGGGCCATGAGAGGGGCCATGAGAGGCTGGGGAGTGGGATTCTCAGGTAAGGTGCCAGGTTACATCTGATTGGTGGATAACTGGATCAGGGCGAATTTCGGGAGCTGAGGGGAAGGGGACGCAAGAAACAGCACAGGGTCCAAGATGGGATGTTGGAATCAATTCTCACAGTCCTTACTCTATTCCACCATCTTCATTCTCTTCTTACTTATTTTTTGTTCCTACTAACTTGATATTTGGTTGTTATTTTTCGAGGTCTTTGAGAGGCATTGGTGGATTATTTATTTGATGGCTTTCTAATTTCTTGATGTAGGTGTTAATTACCGTGAACCTCCCTTTTAACACTGCTTTAGCTACATCCATAAATTTTGCTATTTTGGTTTTTTTTTTAAGATTTTTTTTTTTTATTATTACAAAGTCAGATATACAGAGAGGAGGAGAGACAGAGAAAAAGGTCTTCCGTCAGATGATTCACTCCCCAAGTGAGCGCAACGGCCGGTGATGCACCAATCCAAAGCCAGGAACCAGGAACTTCTTCCAGGTCTCCCACACAGGTGTAGGGTCCCAAAGCTTTAGGCCGTCCTCTACTGCTTTCTCAGGCCTCAAGCAGGGAGCTTGATGGGAAGTGGAGCTGCCTGGATTAGAACCAGCGCCCATATGGGATCCTGGAGCGTTCAAAGCGAAGACTTTAGCCACTAGGCCATGGCGCTGGGCTCAAATTTTGTTATTTTGTGTTCTTGTCTTCATTCAGGAATTCAGTTTTTTCCCCCTTTTGATTTATTCTGTGACCCACTATTTATTCAGAAGTGTGTTTCTCAGTCTCCATATTTGTTTGCATTTGTTCTGTGGTTTTTTGCATCGTCCATATCCAGCTTCATTCTATTGTGGTAAGGAAGAACAAATGGTATGATTTCAGTTTTTTTGTTTTGTTTTGTTTTTTTAATTTTCTGAAACTTGTTTTATGGCCTAAGAAATTGTCTGTCCTGGGGTAAATTCTATGGACTGATGAAAATCATGTGTATTGTGCAAATGTGGGATGAAATGGTCCATAGACATCAGTTAGGTCCATTTGACCCACAGCGTGGTTAGTTTTCCTTCCTGCTTCTCCTCCTTTTTCTTCACCTTTGCCTGCATGTGTGCCTTCTTCTCTCCTCTTTCTTTTCCTATTCCTCCACTGCTTCTCCTCCTCCTGTTTATTTTTTTTCCTTATTAATATGTATGGTTTTGAGCATTCTTATCATTTTAAAAATTCATTTTCAGTTACTTCATTACTCTCCACATTCTAATATTGAAATGTTGTGTTCCTTTTGGTAAATCATAATCTTCCTTATTATTTTTCCTTATTTCACATTTATTTTTACATTTGTGGAAATACTTGCTGTATAGCTTAGTAGAACAACTACTCCTTCGTCGGCTGTCCAGGGGTATATACTGTGTGGGGCCGGGGAGCTCTGATCAGTGCTCAAGGGTGTGATAAGAGTCCATGGTGACACCCAAGTTTGGACTTGGTAGATCTCTATTGTCAGCAGATTGGAGGTTATGGTCACATTTGCTAGAATAATCCTGTCTTCCAAGATGAGTAGTGCCCAAGTGCCCAGAGCCCAGCTGAGTTCAGGACTCGAGAAGGGTGTATAGAATAGGCGTAGAGAAAGATAAACAGACCACTACAATTCCAGGGTCATAATGGACAATGCAAAAGAGCTGTCATTTATGCAGAAGCAGTCACAAGCTCTGACACAAACTTTTTACATCATGATCAAGTGAGTGTATCCAAGAATAATTCTGCCATTTGCTTCACCTAAAATCTCAATGATTATTCTACAACTCAATCTTGTATCACAAAGAAAAGGAGTACCTAAAGATCAACAAAAGAATGAAATCCTAAATATACATCCCTTCTTTTGCTTTAGGTCAATGGGGGACAGCCAAGAGAGCATGAATAATAAAAGGCCCTTTTGCAAGAAGTTATTATTGATATTAACCTCCAAGCTCACATTGATAGTAAAAAAGCCAACTCCGCAGTAGTAAACAATGCCTGAATGGATTAGAATTCTTCCACAGGGTGGTCCAGTGTCCATGCAAAGGAAGGTGGAGCTGCATTCAGGTGGCTATAGAGACATCCTCTGGACCCTGCTGTACAGTGGGAAATTTCTTGCGTCCCTGTCTGCAATGGAACAATACTCTTCATGCCTTCGTCCCCACATCCACTGCACAGACCCCAGTACCCAAGGTTAGCCAACAATGGCTACAACCCCCACCCATGCTGGCAGATGAACCACAAAAAGAATCTAAGTGGTTCTCAGCATGAGCACAGAACCTTGGCAGTTATCCAGTCTGGGACATCAGTGTTCCTTAAGCCCCTGATGCCTGACACAGTGACCATCAAGAGACCCAGCTGCATCCCATGCACTATTGTGAAGTCACAGAATTCCTAGTCATAGCATGCAAGGCTCCCACAGTCGTGGGGTGAAGGGGATTCACATTTTTTTTTTAATTAATTACATTGCATTATGTGACACAGTTTTATAGGTACTGGGATTCCTCCCCTCCCCCCATGGTGGGTTCCTCAACCTTGTTGCATAACCACAATTCAAGTTCAGTTGAGATTCTTTCATTGCAAGCATATATCAAGCATAGAGTCCGGCATCTTATTGTCCAGATAAGTTCAACGGCTTGTTGGGGAGACCTTCTCTGGTCTGAAAGTAGAGCCGGCAGAGTATCATCAAAGGGGATTCACTTTTCCCCATAAGCCTATGCCCCCATGGAGAGAACAGGAGTGTTCCAGAGACAACTGTCTATTCATGCTCTGCCTTGGCAGTAACAGACCTGCATCCTATAATTGGGTTGAAGGATATGTGCACCTCACAGTCAGAAGTGGGTACCCATCACAGCCCTCTGTCAGGTTTCCATGCCCAACTCGAAGTCTGGGATTTATCCTTCTGATAAAATCTTTTACCTGCATGTCCACATGCATGCTGAAGCTGTCACAGTGTGTTTTAGCCTTTAGGATTATCTCCTCGCTAACCATTGGGTGCCATTTTGGTAAGATGGGAAGAAATGTGGTCTTCCCCACAGTGATATGTGGGTACTCTGTCACTTGCTATGGCTTGAGACCAGACCCCAAATCAGTAAGGTCCACAATGTTCTACTGCAGGCGGTGTCTTCAATGACGCTGGCAGCCCCTGTCTGCTCCCTTAGTCCCAGAGGCTGGAGTCTTCTGCAATCCCCAGCTTGTGGGGTGGGAAGCACGATGGTGCAATTGTAGTGCCTGCACTACACAGCGTCTCTCTGCCTCTTGTAGAATTTTCAATTCAGTCATTTCTCAACCTCTTTCCTGGAAATGCCTTTAGTCTGATTTTCTTTCACTAACTTCTCCTGGTCAAAAGCAGTACATCTTCCCCTATTTAGCTATCTTGGAATCCACTAGAGTTTATTCTCAGTTACTACTGATTGAAAGGATTATTGTCTCAAGGCAGAAAGATTTGAACTTTTTTTCCTTCTATTTTATTTTTAGTTTTATAATACAATTCCATATGCTCTGGGATTTCCCACACCTCCTCCCTGAAGTCCCTTCCCCCAAATAATTTCCCCCGTATTATTATAATATAGTCCTTTATAAGTAGTCATAGACAGACTTGAACTTTTTGTGATTTGTGTCAGCCCCTCGGATCCTATTGTAAACTTCTTTAAAATACCATCCTTCACATTAAGTGTGATCTTGGACAATTTACTTATTGGAGCTTTGGCTTCTTTATCTGAGGAGGAAATAAGATGGACTACACTAGACGCATCCTAATTCCTTGGTCTCAGAGGTCTCTGAAACATCAACCTTTGCTGCTATACACACTTTTTAATCACTGTTCAATGTGGGGTGGTAATACCACATTTTTAAATAATTAGTGCAACTTTTATTGTTTCAACTATAGTATTGTTCAGGAAGTATGCCTTCCATGATAATGAATGAGAGAGAGAGAAAGACGTACACAGATAGAATTGAATTTAGACAAATGTAGCCTCTATTTCTCTCTACTTGTAATGAAGTATAGGGAGAATATGCAAAGGTTTGGAGACATATTACTGAAAGTAGAGCATTCACATTGATTTTTAGCATATCTCTCACTAAAATATGCTTTTTTTTCCCCCACAGAAATCTCTTTGTCAACTTTACCCAGGTAACATTTTTCTAAATATTATGTATCCTTCATAACTGCTATTATGCTGTTTCTCATTTTCTGTATTTAATACATGAGAAAGAGCAGTGGTAATCAAGGTATGTTTTGAGAAGCCGTAGGGGTGCTACATAAGATTTATTCAGGAGGTGCACCCTCTTCCAGCCACAGATCTACATGAGGATGAGTTTTCCCCCATGTCCTTCAAAAAAAAAATGCATAACCCGTTTGAATGCAGAAGCATAAATGATCACTCAGCTGTCTTCTGTTATGCAGACATAAGATTGTGAAACTTTTTTGTAAAGATTTATTTTGTTTTTATTGGAAAGTCAGATATACAGAGAGGAGAGACAGAGAGGAAGATCTTCTGTCTGCTGATACATTCCCCAAGCAGCCACAATGGCCAGTGCTGCGCCAATCTGAAACCAGGAGCCCAGGGCCTCTTCGGGGGTCTCCCACATGGGTGCAGGGTCCCAAGGCTTTGGGCCGTCCTCAACTGCTTTCCCAGGCCACAAGCAGGGAGCTGGATGGGAAGTTGTGCTGCCAGGATTAGAACCAGTGCCGATATGGGATCCTGGCTCACTCAAATCGAGTACTTTATCCACTAGGCTACCATGCCGGGGCTCAAGATTGTCAAAATATTAAGCAAACCTTTTTCTTCTCAAGTTTTGTTTTGAAAATAGCTGTTTTTCAAAAAACATGTTAGCTAATATATAATAGGTTTATCATTATTTAAAAAATAAATATCTTAAAATATTATTTAATATATTATATGGAAAATATTTGATGTATCCCACATAAAACAAAAATTTTGTAAGATCTTATGTAACTTTTGAGAGTATAAAAGGGACCTTGAGATTAAAAAGTCTTTAATTTTTTTTAAAGATGTGTTTGACTGGGACAGAGAGTGAGTTGCTTTCAAGTGTGTACCCAGCTCAGCCCTGGTATATAGAAAGAGCTCAGTGAGTATTTGTTGAATGAATTAAAAAAAAAAAAAAAAAAGATGTATTTGAGAAGCAGAAATACAAAGTAAGACAGATCTTCCATCCACTAGTTCACTTACAAGTGACCACAAAAGCCAGTACTGAGCGAGGTAGAAGCCAGGAGCCAGAAGCTTTATCCAGGTCTCTCCCATGGGTGTAGGACCCAGGCACATGGACCATCTTCCTCTGCACTTCCCAGATAATTAACAATTCACTGCAAATGAAATACCAATTTGCAATCAGAGGAAACACACTGTTGGGCTCATAGAAATGGCTCAGTGGCTAAATCCTCACCTTGCACACACTGGAATTCCATCGGGGCACTGGTTTGTATCCTGGCTGATCCACTTCCTATCCAGCTCCCTTCTTACGGCCTAGGAAATGCTGGCCCAAAGCCTTGGAACCAGACCCTACATCCACATGGGAGACCTAGAAGAAGCTCCTGGCCCCTGGCTTTGGAAAATCACATATACAGAGAGGAGGAGAAACAGAGAGGAAGATCTTTCTTCTGCCGATTCACTCCCCATGTGGCCGCAACATCTGGAGCTAAGCTGATCCGAAGCCAGGAGCCAGCCTTTGGGCTATCCTTGACCACTTTGCTAGGCCACAAGCAGGGAGCTGAATGGGAATTGGAGCAGCCCAGATTAGAATCGGCACCCATATGGGATCCTAGCGCATGCAACACAGGTGAGGATTTTAGCCACTGTGCTACTGCACTGAGCCTGAAAATTTGAACATTTTATATGAAAAACATTATTTTATAGTGATGTTCAGAAAAAACATTATTGCAATAAATGTCGTTATTTTAATATTTTTAAAAAGTCTTCATCTTAATTATAAAAGTAACAATGAAAATAAAAAGACATGTTTAAACCATTAGGATAAAAGTTGCAATTAAATGAAATAGTAGAGAGGATAAATAAATGTCAAAGCTTCCTTTGAAAAGACCAGTAAAATACATAATACTCTCAAAGAGACTGAAGAAAATACTTAAAATGACCAGTGAGAAAGGAAATATAATCACACATATGGCAAAATCTAACATGTGCCTCTGTCAGCAGCAAGTTTAAGTCTACATGGAAGATTTCATATCAATGTGTATTAACTAGAGTTGACCTAGGAAGTTGACCTTGGTGATGCCATATTCCACCAAAGAGACAGGAAAGTCCATTTAATCATTAATATTTTATTTTATTTTTTTTAAAGATTTGTTTTTTATTTCTATTGGAAAGTCAGAGAGGAAGATCTTCCGTACAATTATTCACTCCCCAAGTGAGCAAAACGGCCGATACGGATACTATGCCAATCCGAAGCCAGGAGCCTCTTCCGGGTCTCCCACATGGGTGCAGGGTCCCAAAGCTTTGGGCCGTCCTCGACTGCCTTCCCCAGCCACAGGCAGGGAGCTGGAAGGGAAGCGGGGCTGCCGGGATAGAACTGGCAACCATATGGGATCCTGGGCGTTCAAGGGGAGGACCTTAACCACTGCGCCACCGCGCCGGACCCTCATTATTGTTTTAATATTGATTACATGTATGAGGGGTTTGTAAACACATGTGGACTTCTGATAGGGGTATAGAGGGTCTGGATGGGAGGGAAGACGGGTGAGACAAATGTTTTGGTTTTTTTCTCTTATGTCCTTGGGCTGGGACGGGGGAGTGCATTCTTTTTTGCTATCAAACTACATCAGTGCTTAGAGATGGAGACTGTCATCTTGGAGACCCCAATGTGGAGAAGAATATTCAGATGGTTGCTTGAGTGGTTTTGAGTGTTCTGAGAACTTGTTGGCCCCCAAGCCCAGTTCTTGCATCTACCAGCAAATGTTGTGGCCTAGTCAGGGAATCCTACGTGGCCTACCCACAGACCTGGCTTTCACATGTGCCAACAGGAACTGCAGCTTAGCCTGCCCCTACCTACTCTGAGCCCTGGTTCTTGTGGTTGCTGGAGGGTGCTGCAGCTTAGCCAGTACAGCCTGCCCTAGCCCCAGCTCTTGCATTTGCCAGTGGATGAAGCATTACTTTAAAAACTAAAAAATAATACGATTCCAAAAAATGATTACAACTCATTTAAAAAATATCTGTAAAAATTTTTAATGAAATAGCAAAAGCAAATATTCAGGAGACATCAAAACAGTAATATATTATGACTAAGTAATATTCTAAAAATAGCTGTATTGTTATATATCCAAAGAATGTCAATATCACTGATTATTTAATCAAAATAAAGAATATAAATAGTATATCATGGCTTTTAGGAGGTCATGAACAAGATTTCTAAAACTAAAGAAAGATACTCTCCAGATGTTTAAGAGACTCTAAGGACCACAATGAAAGTAAACAGATCCCAGGAACCTATTGCCTCTTATAAATGAGCTAGACTGGTTGTAATGAAACTGAAGGGAAACAAAGACAAAGAGAAGCTCTGTGTAAAACAAAAGGAAACAGCTTATCTTCAAAGGAATCACTTAATAGAAGCATTTATTTAAAATGCATAAAAGCTATAATATCTGAATATTATTAGTAAAGTTGACCTAATGGATATTTGTGAAATGCTATACTTGATATCTCATTGTATGTCTTTTCAAACACAAAGAGCTTTCAAAAATTTGAACATATTGTGAGCTATAAAATAAAACTGAAAAAAAGAAATCGTTGCAAAAAGTTGTCTAATCACAATGAGACTAAGCTGGAAATAAGTGACAAAATTACCTAGAAAATCGCCCAGGTTGGAGAATTGATAAAAAAGAAACATTCATATCCACAAGTCAAAAAACTAGAATGCTTTGATCTAAGTAATTAAGATCTCTAATACAGAAGTGGAAGAACATAAAAGACATTTGCCTCTATTGTAATACAGAAAAATCACATGATAAAAACTTTCTAAGCACATAAAGACTAAAAGAACCATGGGAAAACGGAAGGCAAGGTGGCATGCTGCAGAAGAATGGGCTCTTGTAGGTGAGCAAGGACCAAGGGGCGTTTTCACACCTCGGACTAGTTAGCAGGGTCGGGGCTGACCCATGGCGGGTGGACTTTGTTGAGAGCAGCTTAATTCAGTCAGACTTTTGGATAATGTGTTTGCTGGCATGTCTGACATGTCGGAGAATGTCCCTAAACAACGTAATCCTCTCCACACATCAGTTTTTCCCATGCGGATTACACTGAGTAAATGTACAAGGTATATTTATAATGACAAAGTGCTAGAACTCTCCTGCAGGAAATGTTTGCTATTTCCATGATCAGGAGGAGGCTCTATAACAAACAAACAGTGAATCAAAATACGTAAGCTCGAACACTATTTAATAAAATACATTCTATTCCAGAAGTAAACGAGATGTTTTCAGCGTTCCTGTAAACAAATAAAAACAAATAGATAAGCCATACCCAGAAAAACATTGAGAAAGAAAGGGGAAAGGCTGCTGTCACATTAAGCATTACAGCCTCTGTGAAGTTCTCATCTGACTTACTTACAGCCTCCTGAACACTCAGTCAAGATCCACAGGGCAGCACTTAGATCTTACTAAATAATAAAGGAAGGTGTTAAATCAGAAGATGTTGGCCCAGTCAATAAATGGCATAATGGCTGAGGAATCCTGTGCTTTAGAAACAGAGATCAAAGTTAACCCTCAAATAGGACACCAGAACAAATTTGAAATGAGTTGAAAATGTGAATAGAGTATATCTTGTAACAACTGGGAAAAAAAATAAATTCTCTCAAATCCAGAAAAAAATGTGTAATTTTCACTCTATAAAACTAAAAGATAGGGCCTAGTGCAGAAGCCTAGTGGCTAAAGTCCTCACTTTGCACATATGCTGGGAACCCATAACGGCACCAGTTCTATTCCTGGTCACCTGCTTCCCATTGAGCTCCCTGCTGTGGCCTAGAAGGCAGTTGAGGATGGCCCAGAGCCTTGGGACCCTGCACCTGTGTGGGAGACTTGGAAGAGGCTCCTGGCTCCTGGCTTCAGATTGGCTCAGTTCTTGCCATTGCAGCTGCTTGGGAAGTGAATCATCAGACAGAAGATCTTCCTCTCTTTCTCTGCTTCTCTGTATATTTGTCTTTCCAATAGAAATGAAATAGATCTTAAAAAAAAAAAAACAAGTAGTAGCTAACATGACAAAAATTACCATAAGGACAAAAGGAAAAGAAATATAGATGGAAAATTGAAAACTGAATCAATAGACAAATTAATGTCTTTTTTAGTATCTGAAAAAAAGAATTGTACGAATAAGCCGAAACAATTTAATAGAAAAACGAGTAAAGGAAAAATAGGTGAAAGTTATTGGAAAAATGCTCAAAATTTCTGATAAAGAAACACACATTTAAAATACACCAAAAATAACAGGGGGCATCACAATTTCAGACCTCTGGACGTACTATAGGGCGGTGGTTATCCAAACAGCCTGGTACTGGCACAAAGATAGAGAGGAGGCTCAATGGAGCAGAATAGAATCAAAAGAAGAGAACCCACACAGATACAGCCAAATAATCTTTGACAAAAAGACAAAAGACAATCCAGGCAAATGGGAAGGTCTCTTCAATAAATACTGTTGGGACAACTGGTTGGTTGCCTGCAGAAACTATAAGATAAGCCCACATCTTTCACCATATACTAAATCAAATCTAAATGGATAAAAGACCTAAATCTACATCCAGAAACCTTCAAACTTTTGGAATAAAATGTTGGAGACACCCTGCAAAATTTAGGGGTAGGCCCTGATTTCCTAAAAAAGAAATAACACCAAAAACAGTGGCAGTCAAGACCAAAATAAACAAATGGGACTACATTACTCTAAGAAGCTTATGTACAGCAAAGCAAACAATCAACAAAGTAAAAAAGCAACCCACAGAATGGGAGATCTTTGCACCCTACATAGACAATAGGGGTCTAATCTCCAGAATATACAAAGATCTCCAAAAGAACCAAAACAAACAAACCACTCAGGAAATGGGCGTGAGAAATGGACAGACACTTCACAAAGGAACAAACCCAACTGGCAAACAAACAAATGAAAAAATGCCCAAGTTCCCTGGCAATAAGGGAAATCCAAATTAAGACATCAATGAGGGTCTGGCATGATGGCACAGTGGTTAAGGTCCTCGCTTTGCACACCCAGGATCCATATGGGCACTGGTTCTAATCCTGCAGCCCCGCTTCCCATCCAGCTCCCTGCCTGTGGCCCGGGAAAGCAGTCGAGGATGGCCCAAAGCTTTGGGACCCTGCACACCTGTGGGAGACCCGGAAGGGGCTCCTAGCTTCAGATTGGCTCAGCTCCAGCTGTTGCGGCCACCTGGGGAGTGAATCATCTGATTGAAGATCTTCCTCTCTCTCCTCTCTGTATATCCGCCTTTCCAATAAAATAAATAAATTAAAAAAAAAATAGATAGACAGAGATCAGTAAGGAAAGCTTAGAACCAGACAGGAAACAGTCAGCTTGGACTCACATGTACCTTACTAGGTAGGACACAAAGATTAGTTACTCCTCACTAAGGTATTGAAGATTTCTCTGCACACACACCCCACCTAAAACTGTTCTGTGTCTCAACTGTTGACATGTGCCTTATGAGAGTTATAAGCCTGTTTGGACTATCCTAGAATTCGCCAAGTTCAGTAAAAATTGTGCTTCAATACTATAAACTGCTAAATATAAAAATGAAAACAGACACGAGACAGCTAAATAGTACCCAATAGCGTTTTACGGTGTATAGCAGCCAGTTGTGCATAAACTAAAATTGAAATGTCAATGAAGTAGTCACAGGATGTGGTAAAGAACTTGCATTTTTTTTTAACATATTGGTTACTCAATACCATGTCAAATAATTCCATAATGTTGTAAATTGTTGTTGATGTTATGTTGTTGATGTTATGGGCTTTTAATTGATCGGGATGATATTCTGCCCACTCTGCTTTCAGACCAGAGATGGTCTCCTCAAGAAACTGTTGAATTTATCTGGACAATAAGATGCTGGACTCTATGCATGGTATATGCTTGCAATGAAGGATTCATGACTGGATTTCAACTGTAATACTGCAACAATATGGAGGAATCCACCATAAGGGGAGGGGAGGGCTGGGGGAAGAAACTATGTAATAAAATAAAATGAAATTTTAAAAAAAGAAAAAAGAAAAAAATATAGGGCTTAGTGTGGTAGCCTAGTGGCAAAATCCATGCCTTTCATGCGTCAGGATCCCAAATGGGTACCAGTTTATATTCCAAATGCTCCACTTTCCATCCAGCTGCCTGATTATGGCTTGGTAAAACAGTAGAGAATGGCTCAAGGCCTTAGGAGCCTGCACCCGTGTGGGAGACCTGAAGAATGATATCTGTGTTCTGCCCTTTTTCTATAGCACACTTTATAATGAAAAATGGCACATTGCTTGCATAAGAATAACCCTGAGTATACTCGAAAAAGTTCATGAAAAAAAAATGGAATTAAAAGGTAATTTTATTTGAGGGAGATCATTATACTCTTAGAATTGTGTCTATGAGCTGTATCAAATTTTTTAAAACTGCCAAAACATAAAAAAACTAAATTAAAAACAAAGCAAAAAGTGGTAAGTTGGGCCCAATGTGGCAACCTAGTGGCTAAAGTCCTCGTTTTGGAACCACCAGGACCTCATATGCACACTGGTTTATGTCCCGGATGCTCCATTCCCTTCCAGCTCCCTGCTTGTGGCCTGGGAAAGCATTAGCACATAGTCCAAAGCCTTGTGGAGACTTTACACCCATGTGGAGACCTGCAAGAAACTCCTGACTCCTGACTTGAGATCAGGTCAGCTCCCGCCATTGCGGCCACTTAGGGAATGAACAGTGGGCAGAATATGTTTCTCTCTGTATCTGCTTTTGTCTGTATATTTGATTTTCCAATGAAAATAAATAAATCATTAAAAAAAAATACACCAAAATACCTTTTTAAAAAAATGAGACTGACAGTATTCAAATGTGTGATAGTACACAGTGTTGAGGATACCGGGAGGCACTGTTGAGGATTTCTGGTGAGAGGGTATATGGATACAACTACTATGGATAACAGTTCAACAAAGCTGATGAAAATGACCAATTCATATACCCTTTAGTAGTTGTCACATTAATTATAATAGCAAGAATTAGAAACAAATGTGTATCAGTATGTCAAAAAAATCAAGTTTCTCTATAATTTAGAAATAACATGCAGCTGAAAAAATAAGTATGACGATCTTAAGATCTAACTGTAAATGAAAAACATGGCACTCGGGAAAGACTGTCTAACATACTAAAATTATGTAGAAAGCAAGAAAAAGTATTGGTTATGCACAAAAGCGTCATAGAAATTTGAACAAGAATTTACTAGTGGCGTCTGGGATGCAAATGGGCCAACAGAAACAAGAAAATGGAGTATGGAATAGGAGGGACAAGTTTTGCTGTATTTCTAAAGTAATTTGTATTTAACTGCAAATAAATTATCAAAGGGAAAAAAAAAGAATGTGACTATGTGAGATCTGTCTGTGAAGTGGCCATGCTGCATCCAGTGGCAAAAGAGAGATGCAAATAGTGTATTTGAGTGACTTCATGTTTGTAAAGAGTTCATGCTGTGCCTATGGGGGTAAGAAGAGAAGTGTCCAGCATTCATAGCAAATATCAGCAGGCTTCCAAGGAATGTAAGGGTATATTATCAAGTTTTCATAGGTCTTGCGGTTGTTTTGCTTATTAAAAACACCTACTGATTTTGATTTTTTAGAATAGGATAATCAAAAATGTTTAAGTAAAAATATTTATGGTTATTTTCCTGCAATAAATGATGAAATTTGAATTAAATTTGTACAAAATTTGTGAAGAATTGTGAACGCGTTTTATTTTGCAGCTTATCACTATATGGGTATACGATCCAGAAAATGCAGGTCCCGATGAGCTACTGATGACCGCTGAAGAGCCTTCATTAGTAAGTGGCAATATTACTTCATACTTGAATAATATGCTGCATTTCCTTTGCAAGCATTGTGACCAAATTATAAACAGATGATAGTATTTTAAACTACCCAAAACTCACTAAGTATATTCTCAATACCCATTGAGGTTCAGTTTAGCCATTAGTGTGATTTTAAACTTGTGTGTTTAACATCAAGTTGCAAACTGTACTGCAGAATTCTGTCTTTTCAATAATATAGATTCATATCATAATTCCTTTTGTGATTTATTTTCATTTTATTTGAAAAGCAGAGAGACATAGAGAAAGCTCTTCCATCTGCTGATGCACTCCCCAAAAGCTTACACCAGGAGCCTGGAACCCAGTCTACATTGGTGCCAGGTACTCAAACTTGAGCCATCCAAGGATGCACATTAACAGAAAGCTGGACTGGAATCAAGTATCCAGGACATGAACCAGGATGTGGGATGTGGGCCTCCCAGATGGAGGCTTAAGCTGAACACGAAACATCCAAACTCCTACTGAGCATTCTTGTTCTTCTCTATGAGCCTCATCATTTATAAAGGAATTGACCATCCAAATGCTGCAAAGATGTTCTCTAAGCATCTATATTACGTAGGGGTCTGTAATTTCTGATCACTAAGGTTTATGTCTTCCAACCAAGAAGAGTGAGCAGCGTGGACAAGCAAAGAAACTGAGTTCATTGAAGCAACAGAAAGCTCCCACATGAGGGAGAGGTAGCCATTAAGGGAATTTGCTGAGAGGTTTATATCCTTTGGGTTGCCAGTGTTTTTGCAGGCAGTTTAGTCAGCCATGATCTTATTGCTGCGGAGCTGCTAGCTGGAGATAGACGAGTCCAGCTATAAACTCATGCTGTTCTGTTTCCTTTTGTCTCTCTTGTTCTAGAGTAGCAGAAGCGTTTTGTTTCAGACTCTGCATGTTACACTTGAGTCCCTTGGGCTTTTTGTGTTCCCAACCATTGACTTCAGGTCACAGGTGCCTCTGGTCTCCATCACAAATTGAAGGCATCCTTCAAATATCTTGTCTAATCCCGTAGTAAGCTGAAACATGTTTTTCTAAAGGTACAGCATAGTGAACCAGCAAGTCCTTTCTTTTATTTATTATAAATATAACTCTTTCAAAGCTTAAATTCCTCCATTTATAATTAAAATGTACTGAAAAAAATAAGTTTTAGCTGATAGTTTCTCAAAGAACTGCTTATGAGTCAACATCTGTCTAATTTTTTAGTAGCATATTATCCTTTTTAAAAAAAATTTGTTTATTTTTATTGGGAAGGTGAATAGAGAGGAGGAGAGACAGAGAGGAAGATCTTCCATCCAATGGTTCACTCCCCAAGCAGCCGCAACGGCCGGAGCTGAGCCAATCTGAAGGCAGGAGCCAAGAGTTCTTCCGGGTCTCCCACATGGGTGCAGGGTCCCAAAGTTTTGGGCCGTCCTCGACTGCTTTCCCAGGCCACAAGCACGGAGCTGGATGGGAAATGGGGCCACCAGGATATGACCCGGTGCCATATGGGATCCCTGCGCACGCAAAGCGAGGACTTTAACCACTATGCTATCGCACTGGGCCCAAATAGTAGCATATTATCCTGACTGATAGTAATCAAATTCACAGGAGATGGGACCCAGCGCTGTGTTCTAGCGGCTAAAGTCCTCACCTTGCACACACCGGGATCCCATATGGGCACCAGTTCTAATCCCACAAGCCCCACTTCCCATCCAGTTCCCTGCTTGTGGCCTAGGAAAACAGTTGAGGACGGCTCAAAGCTTTGGGATCCTGCACTCACATGGGAGACCTGGAGGAAATTAATGGTAATTACGTAAGCATGACTTATTTAATTTCTATCTTGTGAAAGTGGAAATACGCACATTTTTGCATCTTTTAGTGCATGCATACTTTATACTTGGCTCTCATCTCCTCCATTTCCATATTTACCCATGATCTTGTCACTTCCTTATAACTTTCCATGTCTCCCCATTACAAATAACACACACTTACCACTTGGGGCTCTTAACAGAACATATGCAGCCCTTGGTACCCATGTCTGTCACTCCTTCTGATCTTAGCTCTCCACACATCCCCCTCGGGCAACTAAACTCTGCTTTCTCCTTACACACATATGCTGTTGCAGCATCTGTCTGTCCACATACTGTCCCAGTGCATCAAAACCCATTCCCTTTCCTCTCAGGGAACTTCTACTCATGTTTGTGGTCTCCAACTATGTGTGACTGTCTCCATGATGACCATCTCAGGATTCTTTCCACTTGGGAAGCTTGAGGGAGTTGTTTTATTTATCCGCAGAATAGCTGTCACAAAATATAGCTGGTCTAACATTAGGTGCTTTGTTGTACATTAAGATAGAAATGCGAATAGAGATACCCAACCCTTAATTTTATTCCTTACTCTTCATTCTCTTATAAACATCCCTGACTTCCACTCTAATAGTGGCTTATTTTAAACCCACTATAGTGGATTATGACACTTGGACTTGAACCCATCCCTCAGCAGATCACACCCACCCCAGGGAAAGGAGGGCCAGCAGTGAGCTGAAACTCGGAAATGGGATCCAGGGTAACTGTTTTGTGCAGTTTGCTCTCCCTGCCTCTCAAATAAAATGAAAACAAATAAATAAGATTTTTTAAAGGTGTTGATGAAGTAATCACTCTCCCAAGTATCTTATCCAAATAGTCCTAACCATGGAGAAAACTATATATCAGCTATGTCCATGCAATATTATTGGCCAGTAGTGAAAAAAATAAGACCACATAAATGTACAACCAAGACATGTTAAGGAAATGGTGATTATGCACACTCAAGTAAAGATCATGTAGCCATTAAAGTTGACACATATGTAGACTTTAATAATGTGATAGCATGAATACATAACAGCAGCATATAGTTGAAAAATTGAATGTAGATTTTATATTTTTATAACTTGTTGGTGAAAATTTTTTGTATTTACAAAATTATATTCAATAACAATAATAGTTTTTATAGGAAAATGTGTTTTGAAATTTTTTAAACATTTATTTATTTTTATTGCAAAGTCAGATATACAGAGGGGAGGAGAGACAGAGAGGAAGATCCTCCGTACAATGATTCACCCCCCAACTGACCACAATGGCCTGTGCTGTGCCGATGTGAAGCCAGGAGCTAGGAACTTCTTTCAGGTATCCCACACAGGTGCAGGGTCCCAACGCCTTGGGCCATCCTCGACTGCTTTCCCAGGTCATAAGCAGGGAGCTGGATGGGAAGTGGAGCTGCCGGGATTAGAACTGGCACCCATATGGGGTACTGGCGTGTTCAAGGTGAGGACTTTAGCTGCTAGGCTACGCTGCTGGGCCCGTGTTTTTAAATTTTTTATATGCTTATCTTTTCCTTGGTCATTTTTTTCTGTAATGATTATTGTATCTATGCATTGCATATGTTCCTTAATGTATTTATTTCTATCATTTTATACTGATAATTTTTTACCTTCTCCTTTGCAGTTAGCTGAAACAATGCTACATATAAAATTCTAAAACATGAATAGGATTTTCAGAGCTAGCTCTCCATCATTCATGAGTCTTTACTAGGCACACCTATATTTCTCTGTCAAAACCATTAGGCATATATTCTTCAGGGAGGCCTTCTAGAGTCATTGTTCCTACTCAAACAAATAGATTGGGATCCCCTATTAGAAAATCCCATAGCCCTTGTGACACTAACACATCATAGTAATTCCTAGGGCGCCTTTTTGGAAGACTGATGTATTTCCGTGGAAATTGGAAAAAATTTGTTTTGGAAGATTAATACAGAAAGAGGCTATAGAAGTCTAAACTGACCCTGTTATCTAATATTTTATTTATAGGAATTACCCCTAAAGAAATAGTTGCCTCTATTAAAAAAAAAAAAACCTAATTAGGAACAATTCCAGTTTAATTCAGTTTCTTATTACATGTGAAGAAGAAGAAACATGTCATATCCACCTGAATTCTTTATATATATATATATATATATATATAATAATTATTATTAATTACATTGCATTATGTGACACAGTTCCATAGGCTCTGGGACTCCCCCAACCCCTCCCCGTACCCTCCCCCCATAGTGGATTTCTCCACCTTGTTGCTGTATTACATTTGAAATTCAGTCAAGATTCTTTCATTGCAAGAGTACCACCTGAATTCTAAAGATAATTTCTTTTAAAGTGTCTGTATATTATTTAAAGACTGATTTGAAAAATGTATGTTATTTTGAAGACAGGATGATATGCAAAGAATTATTACAGGTAAATTTTAGAAACCTCATTATGTATTTCATCAATATTAAAGCTATGCTCACAAAGTTAGGAATTCTCATAGTCCCAGTTCATATATATTTTTAATCAGAAACTGTAGTATGACTTGTTAATAAATTTATCAAGTTCAACTGGGAAGGAGGTGACAAGATATGAAAAAAAAAATACTAAACCTTGAAAGTGTTATAAATTTATAAATGTTAACAATGTAATAACTAAAACAAATTCAATATTTTATCAAGTAAGTAAGAATATTTTTGTATACTTTACCTGTAAGAGTAAAAAGAGAAATTTTATTTTGTTTTTGCAGAATTCCTTAGTACTAAGCAAGCAGTTGGCCATTTTGGGACAGAAGCCGACCATATATACATTTCTACAGAAAAATGTGTATTATTCCTATGAAAGCCATAGAAAAGGGTATTTAACTTTTTAAGGATTTATTTATTTTTTATTGTAAAGTCAGAGAGGAAGAGAAACAGAGAGGAAGATCTTGATGATCTTTGAATCATTGATGATTCACTCCCCAATCAGCTGCAACAGCTGGAGCTGCGCCAATCTGAAGCCAAGAGCCAGGAGCCTCTTACAAGTCTCCCACCTGGGTTCAGGGTTCCAAGGCTTTAGGCCGTCCTCAACTGCTTTCCCAGGCCGTAAGCAGGGAGATGGATGGGAAGTAAGGCCACCAGGATTAGAGCTGGTGCCCATATGGGATCCCGGTGCGTGCAAGGCAAGGACTTTAGCCACTAAGCTATCACACCAGGCCCCAGGTATTTAACTTTTAGATTTAAAATTTAAAGTACCTGGGCCAGTACAATGACTGATGACTGAATTGGCTGGTCCCTTGCATGCAAGCATCAGCATCCCATTTAGGCACTAGTTCATGTCCTGGCTGCTCTACTTGCATCCAACTCCCTGCTTGTGGCCTGGGAAAGCAGTAGAGAATGGCTGAAAGCTTTGGGACTCTGTGGGAGAACTGGAAGAGGCTTCTGGATCCTGGCTTTGGGTCAGCACAGCTCTTGCCCTTATGGCCATCGAGGAGTGAATGAACAGATGGAAGATCTTTCTCTCTGCCCCTTCTTCTCTCTGCAAATTTGCCTTTCAAAAAAAATCTTTTAATTCAGCTTTACAAATCTAGTAATATCAGAAGCTGATAAGATTTAAAAATCCTAATGGAATTTTATGAACTCTACCTTACATGTAATTTGTAGGCTTTTTTTATGTCACATGGTAGATTATAAAAATCAGCGCTAATTATCAACTCAGTACCAGTGAGACCTTTGGATGACAGCTTCACCATCTGTTAACATCTAAGCCTCAGGGCAGTCATTTGACTAGTAACTAAGCTGATGTTTGGGACATCCACGCCCTATGTCAGAGCTCCTGGTTTCAACACCCAGTCTGATTTGTAACTGCAGTTTCCAGCTAGTGCAGGCCTTGGGAGCAAAGGTGATCAATTTGCTGGGTTCCTGACACCTAGGTGGGAGACCTGGATTGTGTTCCATTCTCCCCAGCTTTTACTCTCCAGCTGCTGTGGGCATTTGGAGGGTGAACCATGGAACTGAAGTTCTGTGTGCAAAATAAACAAATCTTTTAAAATGCCTAAGCCTCAATCCAAGAGCCTCATGCTGGGTGGTGGCAAATTCTGGCAGTTTCTGAAAATATCTCAGAATGCGAACCAGAGTGGTGCAATTCATATCAGATTCATAGCCACCATCAGTGCACTCAAACACACAACCACTGCAAACTCTACTTGAGAAGAAACATCTGATACTGCTTAAGTTGCTAGGTGATCATGAGATGTAGACAACCTTTCTTAGTCTAGTGAGCACCTTGGCACAGGGCAAGTTTCTTATGGCCTAAGGATACAGTTATTGCCATTGGTGACCAGACGGCTGGTGAGGAAGGCAAACAGAAGGAATGCTGGAGCTGACTTCAGAGTATAGACACATAAAGGGTACACCAGCTCAGGCTTAGAGAAGAGAGAATTAGAGAATCAAGATGGTGGAATAGGGTAAGGACATGTTTAAGAAACAGAGAATCTTTAGCCAGAGGAAAACAGAGTGCTGATTCAAGGACAGGTTGATTGCAGAGGGACACTTGGAGACTGAACGACATGGGGAAGCAGCGGAGACAACAGAGTGGTGCTACAGCTAACAGATGCTCCCGTAGCAGTCAGCAAGCGACAATCTGAAATCCACCAGTGGCCAGAGCTCCATTGACAGCCAGGGCAGTTCACTGGGAGCTCAAGAGAGGAACCCAGGCAAAGAACCGCCCATCCTGTTTTGTTTGATCCAACCAGGAGCAGGGAGCCCAAGCAGGTGGTGCAGGAACAGGGTGGATTTCATAGCCCAGACCACCACCAGTACCAATTAGGTACCATTTTGTGAAGGGAAGCAAAAGCTGTGGGACGGGAAGGACAACAGTGATCTGTGCATGCACTGACTAAGCTGGAAGCAAACACTTCCAGCTCAGTGCATTGCACTAGCCCCACAGGGATACTACAAATACCACTCAAAATAGATGTGGGTAGCCTGCAGATCTAACAGCCAGCAGGTTCTGGCAAGTTCAGCACCAACAACAACCTAGCTATATAGGGAGATATACCTGGTATCTTCCCTAATCCTGAGAATTGCTCAAAGCAGAAGTGAGAGAAAGGTTATACAGGCAACAGTGCAGCCATAACACGGGATCACGGGAAGTGTAGAGTGGTGAACCAGGAGCTTTAGCTACAGAGACCATGGTGGAAGTCTAACACAGGAACCAAGACCCGAAACTTGCTGGAGGCATTGGCACAAGTGGCTGCAAAGAGCTGTGACCCGACTGCAATCAGTAAAACCTAATGAAGTAGACCTATAGGTGTCACAGCTTAGAAACCAGCCCTAAGGAGAAGAATCTGATAACCAGAAGTACAATGACCAAGAACAAGAGAAGAGACATAGGCACAATGAATATTACTGAAGACTCCCCAACCTCAGAATTAACTGAGCAATACATCAAGGATATGGGGGATAAAGAACTTAAAAAACCTGTTATAAATCTTCTCATCAACAATGGCAGGCACAGGAATTTAAAGACTACATCACACAGGAAACAGCAACACTGAAACACAAGCAAGCAGAATTGTTAGAAATGAAGGACACCATGGAGCAAGTAAAAAACTCAGTGGAAAGTCTCAACAATAGAATGAGTGATGCAGAAGAAAGAGTCACAGAATTGGAAGATATTTCTTGCCACAATGGGGAAACAAAAAGCTGGAAGTGGAGCTGGATCAAGCTAAAAACAGTATTCAAGAAATAGGGCTGGGGAGATAGTGTAGTGGTTAAAGTCCTTGCTTTGAACGCGCTGCGATTCCATATGGGCACTGGTTCTAATCCCGGCAGCCCGCTTCCCATCCATCTCCCTGCTTATGGCCTGTGAAAGCAGTCAAGGACAGCCCAAAGCCTTGGGAATGTGCACCCGCGTGGGAGACCTGGAAAAGTTCCTGGCTCCTGGCTCCAGATCGGCAAATATAGGCCATTGCGGTCATTTGGGGAGTGAATCATCGGATGGAAGATCTCTTTTTTTTTTTTAATTTAATTTTTTTTAATTTTAATAACCTTAGTTGATTAGGATACAAAAGGTCAAGGGCTACAGGGTGAAAGTGGGTAATATCATTGTTTCCACACTAATATAATCACTTTTCCCTGCATCTGGGTTTAGGGGAGTAACAAAGGGAAAAGCTCCACCCAACCTCCCACCCATCCCCGATCCCCAACATGACGCGTGCTCCAAGGGTCCTGCTCAAACAGTTTTGATAGCTCATCAGTTCTGGATTGCTGCCAATCTCACTGTCCCAACTGCAATAAAACCTATTCAGAGTAAACTGGCTGACAGTCTCTTGATGGTTGGGGTTCTAAGATCAGCAGTTCAGTTCGAGGGATATCCAAAGAAACTTCATCTGAGTTGATCCCAGATCTGATTCTTGAGTGAGTTTGCTAGTACAGACTCCAACACCGTTCGTCACACCAATCAGCTTATGCACATGCTGGTTGTTGCAATTGCTGGGTCTGTTTGGTTTCCAGCCCCGTCTTCCTCACAATGGAAGATCTTCCTTTCTGTCTCTCCTCCTCTCTGAATATACACCTTTCCAATAAAAGTAAAGAAATCTTTAAAAAAAAAAAAAAGAGAGAGAGAATTAAGAGACACTATTAAAAGGCCAAATAGAAGAGAAGAGTTACGGGGCTCCAGGAGGTGCAGAAAGAGAAGCTGGGTTTAAAAATGTACTTAATGAAATAATAAAGGAAAATTTCTTTAATTTTAAAAAAAGAATTGGGAAACAGAATGCAGAAGGGGCATCAAACTCCTGGTAGAGTTGACAGAAAGCAATCTTCACCATGACACATGATAACCAAGTTCTCTTCAGCTGGACATAAGAAAAAGATCCTTAAATGTGCATATGAAGAAATCAGTTGACATATAGAGGAATGGCAATCAGATTCACAGGAGAGCTTTCACAGGAAACTCCACAGGCCAGAAGAGAATGGAGCAACATACTGCAGATTCTAAAAGGAAAAAACAAAAAAACAAAAAAACAAATTGGGCCAGAATAACATTACTCAGCAAAGCTTTCCTTTGTCTTTGAAAGTGAAATAATAAAAACTCAGAGAATTTGCCTCTTCCAGACCTGCGCTACAAATAGATGTCCTCTTGACAGAGAAAAGGAATGGCACCTACCAAAATCAAAGGCAAACATGGAGAACATCCCAGTGAAATGATAACAAATGACTAAACGAAACCATGAACACCCCATTGCTGAGATGACAGGACTGAATTACCACCTATCCATATTAACCCTGGGTGTGAATGGCTTAAACTCATCAGTCATAGATGAGTAGACTATATCAAAGAACAAAATCCATCTGTCTATTGCCTACAGGAGGCACATCTCACCAACAAAGATCAGTGGAAGCTATATCACATGGATTTTTATGTTTTTGTTTTTATTTTCATTTCTTCAAAACAGTTCTTTTTCTCATATTAAGTATTGTTTTCAAGAAGGTTCTTGATTTTCTTTTTCATTTTTTCAGTGACACATTAGTCATTCTGTAGCATAATATTCAACTTCATGGCGTGGTAAATATCTTTTTTCTCTTTTTTTACTGTTTTTGATTTTGTTTCGTGGCTTTTTATTTAAGAGGATGTATACTAACTGTAGTAGAGAGTGTCATATCCAGATGTGTGAATACAGTGCAGTGAGCATCTTTATTTCCAAATCAAAATGCACTGTCAACGAGAGTGTTAAATACATCTTGACCGTAGAATGCTCAACTCTCTGCCATTGTCCATGCTTACAATTTCAGAATACGCCTAAATAACAGAAAGATGGACTTATACCTGTTTATGAAGAGCTGTGCCACTGTAATTATAGGGGGATACTAAAATTGGGTGCTGGACTTATTTTATGAAACTTGGGAGGGAAGGAAGAGAATAGTTACTGTAAAACCAGACTGAAGGGCTCCCCTGCTTTAGCAGGAAGGTAGGAAGGATATGGATAGAGTTTGTTACTTCCCATTTGTAATAGCTTTGATGAACTGTAATTGCCAAATCCAAAATCACAAAAAAATTGACCACACTGATTTCTCTTAGGAGACTTGTAAGCTTACATTTAGGTCTCTGATCTAATTTTAATTAATTTTTGTGGTGTTGGATATGACTTAAGATATTTCCTTTGTATTTCAAGATCTAGTTGTCCCAGTAGACTTTATTGAAAAGGACTGTTGCTTCCTCATAAGCAATTAACAACAAACTTGATAGTATTTTTATGGCTTTTTTTTTTAGTTCAGTTTCATAGTCCTATGTTTATCCTTATGCCAGTACCATACTTTCTTGATTACCACAGCTTAGTACTAAGTTTAAAATCAGGAAGGGTTAGTCTTCCATCTTTGTCAAGATTATTTTAACTATTCTGGTTTCACCTAAATTTCTGTATCAATTTTAGGTTCAGCTTGTCAGTTTCTTCACCTGGGATTTTTAAACAATTATATTAAATCTGTAGGTCAATTTGAGGAGTACATATTATATTAATGCTATTCAGCTTCCTAATCATGAACATGGAATGTTTTCCACTTGTATTAATGTTGTTTCTTTTTTTCAATAATGTTGTGTTATTACAGAGTACAAGTTTGTGCTTTTACCTTTAAATTGCTAGTTGCTTTTTTGCTGATGTTATTGCAAATGAAACTGGTTTTGTAATTTTATTTATGGATTAGTTATTGTATTAAATCTATGTAAATCTTGTTTACTGTAATCTTACCAAATTTATCAGTTGTAATCGTTTTTTGATGGATTCCTTAGGCTTTTCTGTATATAAGATACACTTGCGAATAGATATTTTACTTTGTACTTTACAATACAGAAGTCACTTACTCCTTTTTCTTTCCTAATGCCCTGACTGGAACTCTAATGCAAATGATGGATAAAAAATGAGAGCAAATATTCTTGACTTGTTTATCCTGTTAGAGTTAAAATGTTCAGTCGGGTTTACCACAGCATATTTGTTATGTTTTTTTTTTTTTTCCACAAATGCCCTGTATCAGGTTGAAGAAGTTCCATTCTAGTCCAAGTTTTTTAGTGTTTTGAGTGAGCAAGAGTTTTAAACAAGTATTTTCTTTAATTAAAGGAACATGTGGTTTTTGCACTTTACATGAATTGATTTTTTGATGTTAAACCAATGTTGCATTTCTGGCATAGATAGTGCTTGGTTGTGATTTAAAGTCCCTTTTTATGTATTTGCTAGTATTTTGTTGAGGAATATTGGTATAATGCTTCCTCTTCTTGTAATATCTTGTCTGGCTTTTTAAAAAAAGATTTATTTATTTTTGTTGCAAAGTCAGATACACAGAGGAGGAGAGACAGAGAGGAAGATCCTCCATCTGATGATTCACTCCCCAAGTGACCGCAACAGCTGGGGCTGAGCCAATCTAAAGCCAGGAGCCCAGAGTCTCTTCTGGGTCTCCCACACTGGTGCAGGGTCCCAAGGCTTTGGGCCATCCTCAACTGCTTTCCCAGGCCACAGGCAAGGAGCTGGATGGGAAGCGGGGCCCCTGGGACCTGAACTGGCGCCCATATGGGATCCCAGCATGTTCAAGGCGAGGACTTTAGCCCCTAGGCCCTGTGCCAGGCCCCACCTTGTCTGGATTTAGTATTGGAGTAATATTGGCCTTGTAGAGTGAGTTAGAGATTGTTCCCTCCTCCAGTTTAGGGAAGAACTTAATGAATGATTAGTATTAACTCTTCGTTAATTCTAGAACCCTCTGGGCCTAGAATTTCTTTATGTTTTCAACTACTAATGAAATTTCATGGAACCAGTGTTGTGGTGCAATGAGTTAGGCAGCCTCCTGTGACACCAGCATCCCATATTAAAGCACCGATTAGAGTTGTGGCTGTCTTATGATCTAGATCTCTGCTAATGCATCTGAGAAGGCAGCAGAAGATGGATCAAGTACTTGAGCCCCTGCCACCATGAGTTGGCACTCCAGGCTCCTGGCTTTAGACTGGTCCAGCTCCAGGAGCTGCAGCCATCTGTGGAATGAACTAGCTGATGAAGTTTAGCCGTCTCTGTCCCTCTTGACTGACTTTCATATACATGATTTTTTTCAATTTATTTGCTTAGATTTATTTTATTTTATTTTTATTTCATAGCCATTATTATTATTTATTATTATTATTATCATTTTATGATACAGTTCCATAGGCCCTGGAAACACCCCTTCCCCTATTCCTTCCCCCCTCACTGAGTTCCCCTATATTATTACTATACTATAGTTCTTTATAAACAGACATATGTCCATCATTGTGGGCATGGACAATGGCAGACAGTCCAGCTTCCTACTGTCAAGTTTCATTGAGAGTCAATCATTGATTTTTTTAAAGATTTATTTATTTTTATTACAAAGTCAGATATACAGAGAGGAGGAGAGACAGAGAGGAAGATCTGTCCAATGATTCACTCCCCAAGTGAGCGCAACGGCCGGTGGTGTGCCAATCCGAAGCCAGGAACCAGGAACCTCTTCTGGTCTCCCACATGGGTGCAGGGTCCCAAGGCTTTGGGCCATCTTTGACTGCTTTCCCAGGCCACAAGCAGGGAGCTTGATGGGAAGTGGAGCTGCCAGAATTAAAACGGGCACCCATATGGAATCCTGGCGCATTCAAGGCAAGGACTTCAGCCGCTAGGCCATGCCGCCAGGCCCATCTTTGACTTGAAGTAGAGATGCATACTTCATTGTAGCCCCATATCTAGATAGGACAGTTTCCATTACACAGTTACTATACATCCCCTTAAATGAAAAATCACAATACAAAATCAGCAACAGGAAGGAAAAAGAAATTAACAATGCCATGAAGTTAAATAACATGCTGCTGAATGACTAATGTGTCACTGAAGAAAATCAAGAACCCTTTTAAAGATTTATTTATTTTTATTGGAAAGGTGGATATACAGAGAGGAGGCGAGACAGAGAAGATCCTCTATCCAATGGTTCACTCCCCAAGTGAGTGCAATGGCTGGAGCTGAGCCAATCTGAAGCCAGGCGCCTCTTCCAGGTGTCCCACACGGGTGCAGGATCCCAAAGCCTTGGGCCGTCCTCAACTGCTTTCCCAGGCCACAAACGGGGAGCTGAATGGGAAGCAGGGCCGACAGGATTAGAACCAGCGACCATATGGATCCTGGGCATGCAAGGTGAGGACTTTAACCGTACGCTATTGCGCCAGGCCCACATATACATGATTTTTTTGTTTTGTTTGGCTTTTGTCCTAAGATTTGTTTATTGGAAAGGCAACAAGAGAGGATGCGAGAGGGAGCGAGAGAAAGGGAGATGGATTTATAGAAAGAAGGAGAAACAGAGAAAAAAGAGCTTCCACCTGCTGGTTCACTCCCCAAATGACTGAAATGGCTGGAGCTGTACTGAACTGAAGCCAGAAGTCAGTAGCCTCTTCTGGGTCTCTCACACAAGTGTAGGGTCCCAAGGCTCTGGGCCATCCTCATCTGCTTTCCCAAGCTACAAGCAGAGAGCTGGATGGGAAGTAGAGTAGCCAAAATTCAAACTGGGCCCATGTGGGATCCCAGTGCTTGCAGTGGAAGATTAGCCTGTTGAGCCATCGTGTCAGCCTTAAAAAAGGGATCTTCATCTGCATATGAGAAGGTAGTAGATGTTGCATACAATTACATGGAAGGGTATTTGGAACACTTTTTGCAAGATGAAATTTAGCTCATTCCAGTGCAATTTTGAAATTTGCAGTTTTTCATGATACATATGTTCCATAAACTTTTTAAAGACTCTCATATTAAGAGTAGCATAAGAATATTTGGGAATATGGAGAATTTTGGAGGAAGAAGAGCTGTCAGAGTCACATTTATTTTCCTTTGGAGCTATAATAAAGAGTGAGAATGAATGGGGTAATATCAGCATTTGAGTATTATCTGTTTTATCTAGGTTAATGTTTATACACTCTTAAAAAGACAAAATATACTAAATGTCATTATTCTACAAGATAGACCAGAATAAAATGTTTGATTTTTCTCTTTGTAGAATCTGGCATATGATAATACCAATGACATCAGACGATGTGATAAAGGAGATTAAAGGGAACCAAGTAGTTTTTCAAGATTGCTTCATTGCAGATGGTCTTTTTCTGATGACCTTTCCTACATCAACTATTCCAGAGCATCCTGCTTTCTTACCACTCTCCTCACCACCCGGGAGTCAGATCATTTCGACCTGGGTTGCTTGTATTCCTTCATCTGTTGTGGTAGTCACTGAGATGGAAACCTTTCAAACACTGGATTCATTTCGCACTTGGAGCAAAGTCAGAGTGCCTCCCAATGTCCTGAGTGACAGTGAAAGACACAACGTAAGCAAGGTGGAACTATCATCGGATGGAATTTTTTTTTTAATAAATGGTGTTCTTTACTTAAGAAATAGTTATTTGTTGATGAAACTAGGAAGAGAGTATAATCTACCAGATGAAATCATTGGCATTAGAGCAAGAAAATGGTGCTGGGTGAAATATATATTCAAGGTTAGTATCATATTAAATATATATTTATTATACATCAGAATTTAACCTGGTTCACTGGCTTATCAGAGATTACTTATAAAACTTTTTAGTTGTTTTATCTAGGGTTGCATTTGGCTCTGTCTTTCTGACCTAACTTCTTAGAGGCCTCTTTACCACAGAGCCGTACTTCCAGCAACAAAAAATAAAATTAATTTTGTATGTTATTGTTCACAGAAGGCCAGTTATACTATGTGAACTTCATTTTGCATTGTTATGGATAAAAGTTACCACTCTCAGATTTTTTGCGAAATAAACCCTTTGTATGCTCTCAAAAATGAATAAATTCTTCCACTAACAAGTACTAGGATAAGAATACCTGAAACTTTCTCTTACGTTTTTGTAGGATTTTTTTTTTCTTGGAAAGGCAGATTTACAAAGAGAAGGATATACAGAGAGGAAGATCTTCCATACACTGGTTCACTCCCCAAGTGGCAGCAACGGTAGAAGCTGAGCCGATCCGAAGCCAGTAGCCAGGACCATCTCCCAGGTCTCCCACACGGATGCAGGGTCCCATCTTTCATGTGGCTGTCCCAGGCCACAAGCAGGGAGCTGAATGGGAAGTAGAGCAGCGGGACATGAACTGGCACCCATACAGAATCCTGGCACAAGCAAGGTGAGAATTTTAGCCACTGTGCCATCACACCAGGTCCTGAAACTTTCAAATTACAGAACACCTAAAATGCTTTATAAAAATTTTAACCCTTTTAAGTTTGCTGCTGGGCTCTGACAGGATTCAGCTCACATTAAAAAGTAACCAGATTTATGAAGAAGCAAAGTGCCAAGGGAGTGGGCAAAATAACAGATTAGATTTATTCATGTAAGGACGTTAGGTATTAGAATGGACTGAATAGAAACTAGGCTTAGTAGATTTAAAGAAATGAAAAATATAAATAGGGGAAAAAATACTCCCATCAGATGGCAAGATGTAATAAAATTACAAAAGTAATTTTAAAAGTAATTATAAAAGTAAGGAAGTTATTATCATAATATTTATAAAAAGGACCTGCTGGGAAGGGAAAGCCACAGTGGTTGGGAAAATAGCAATTTGGGAATTCTGATGATATGCTATATCTTAATACATACCTACTATTATATGAAACTTTTATTTGTGATAAATCTGAATTATATGCATTCATATTTGGTAGTTTTTACATATGTAGGTTACGTTTCAAGTTTTTTAATATTTAAAAGTAAATTATACTATTCATTTTTATTATAATTTGGCCATTTATAATTTGTGTATTTATAGAATAAAAATGATATAATTTATGAATGTAATATAGAATAATTAAATCAAGCCAAGTAATGTATTCATTATCTCAAATGCTTAATATTTTTTGTGGCTAACATTGGAAATTTACCCTCTTAGGAAGTTTCAAGTATACAAAGCTCTATTACTAATTTTCCATGCCATGTAATAGAACTCTAAACAAAATATAAATAACTGCATATTCCTCTTCTCTGAAATTTATTGCCCTTTTTAAAAATTTATTGTCCTTTAATTGTTATTTTTCCACAGCATTCATTGCCACAGTCTCTATAATCCCTAGAGACTGTAGCTATCTAATTTTTATACAATTATGTTGTAAAATAAATGTTTTAGATTCAACACGTATGTGAGGACATGTGGTATTTGCCTTTGTACCTAATTTATTTCACTTAGCAGCAATGTCCTCCAATTTCATGCATCTTGTCACAAGAGAAGAATTCCCTTTTTCTTAAAGGCTGAATGGTAGCAGGGACTGGGTCAACAATGAAGCAGCAAAGGCAAAAGCGCTCACTTTAATGACTTCCATTCAAAGAAGTACTGAAGGTTATAGCCAGAGAAATTGGGCAAGGGAAAGAAATAAAGGGTATTCAAATTGGAAGCAAAGAAGCCAGGTTGTCCCTGTTTGCAACTAGCATGATATTATATACAGAAAACTAAAGACTTCACCAGAAAAACTATTAGAAGTAATAAATAGGCCAGGTGTCATTGTAGGATTTAAAAAACAACATAGGAAATCACTAATGTGTCTATATACTAATGGTGTATCATCTGAAATAGCACACAAAAGAATTCCAATTATAATAACAATAAAAACTTAAAATACCCAGGATAAAACAAATCTATGATAAAAACTATAATATAGTGATGTAAGAAATTGAAGGGCACCACAATCACATTTTCAAAGGTTGGAAGAATTAATATTGACATTAATATCATTAAAATGTCATGCTACCCAGGACTAGCATTCTAACATAGAAGTTTTCCACCTGAGATGCTAACGTCCCAAATGGGCACCAGTGTGTGTCTCAGCTCATCTACTTCCCATCCAGCTCCCTGCTAATGGTGGGGAAAGCAGTTAAAAAGAGCATAAGTTGGACCCAGCACAGTGGCCTAGCAGCTAAAGTCCTCGTCTTGAACACTCCAGGATCCCATATGGGTGCCAGTTCTAATCCCAGCTGCTCCACTTCCCATCCAGCTCCCTGCTTGTGGCCTGGGAAAGCAGTCGAGAACAACCCAAAGCCTTGGGACCCTGCACCTGTGTGGGAGGCCTGGAGGAGAAAATTCCATGCTCCTGGCATCGGATTGGCACACCACCAACCGTGCGGTCATTGTCTCTTCTCCTCTCTGTATATCTGACTTTGCAATAAAAATAAAAATCAATCTTAAAAAACTAAAAAAAAAAAGTGTAAATGATGTTTGGGCTCCTGCCAGTCACAAGGCAGACTTGGATAAAGCTCCTAACTCTGAGTTTCAGCCTGGCCCAGTCCTGACTGTTGCAGCTTTATGTGCTTAAAAAGGGATTAAAATTTATAAAAAATAGTATTTAAAGAATACAGTAACTAAGAACTTAGCTTTTCAGTTATGTATAATACATTTAATATATATGCCTGTGATATTACTCAGAAATATATGAAACCACAGTAGCTACATCTTTTTTTACTTTTAAATGTAGTAAAGTGGCAAACAGAAATAGACTTCTCCTTACCCCCCTCAAAAAAAAATTCAAAGATTTTTCAACTTGTTTTTAATTTTTTCACAGAATGAAGTAGAAAAAAGCAGCCTGATAATCTGGACAAAAGATGAAGTTTACCTTGGATATACTAAACTTAAATTCATCCAAATAGGAACCATAAGTAAATTGAAAAGTCTCGTGAACATGTCACCAACTGCCACTTTGACCATACACAATGCTGAGTATACAGGACACCCTGTGGAATTCGCTGTGTTTTTAAGTTACTGTACTGCATGTACTGTCACAAAAAGGATTTACACAGTGATATACAATGAAGACTTGAGAGAGTGGATATACCAAGACTTTAAACTAGATGTCCCTGTCAACAGTTTTTTAGTTCCTTATTTTCTATTTTCAGCCATGCCAGAAGTAGTGCTATCTGACGGACATAGGATCTATTATTGTTATCAAAATTTCACTGTTTGTGGAATTATACAAACTGCTACAGGAAGCAGCAATCTATTATTGTTATCAAATAACAGCGTTATTCATGACATTTTTATGGGTGAGGCATTTGCTTTCTGTTAAAATTATTCTATATTTCACTATAGGCTGCTATCTTATAAAGATGTAATCATTTGAAATACATAAATGTATGGTGCTTTTTGATATATAAAGGTGATTTTTTTTACTACTTTTGAGGAAATACATCTTAATTTTATGTTCAACTAACAATAACTAGGATCTCACAGGACAGAATGACCAAATCAAGTCCTTTCACTCAGAGTTTTACGCTGGTCAGTCAATAAGTGCAATAATAAGCAATAAGTCAGCAATTGATCCGTGCACAATATGTGTGGGAGATGCTGTGGTGTGGTGTTAGTTTCCTAGGATTACCATTAAAGTACCATAAACTGAACTGCTTAAGACATAAGAAATGTATTCTTTCACAGTTCTGGGGACTAGAATTTAGAAATTGAGATGTGGCCAGGGGCATGCTCCACCTGGGACCTGTAGGGGTACGTCTTTGCTTGCCTTTGGCTGGTGGTGTTTGCCCTTAGTGGCTTGCAGCTGCATCGTTCCAGTCCCTGCCTTAACTTCACCTGGCCTTCCCCACACTAGCGTAGGGCCCACCCTCCTCCAGTACGACTTCATCTTCACCGCATCTGTGATAACCTTATCTCCAAATAAGGTCACACTCTAAAGCAGGAACCAGCACTAGAACTTCTACATCCCTGTTTGGGCGTAGTTCAAGCCATAACAGGTATAGAAGCTTTAGGTGAAACTGTATTCAAACTCATAAACCTGTCATCTAAGCTCTCCAAGCTTCAGTTTTGTAATCTAAGATTGCTACAAATTGAAGAGGATTTGGCTCCCCAAACCCATGCAGCTATTTAGACTCTGAAGTCCTATGTTAAAGATTGATGGACTAACGGAGACAACTGGATGTAGTTATGGCATCTGAGAAGCAGGTTTGGTGGAGGGCTTTAGGTCATTGAAGGCATGCCTGGAGAAGGTGGTTCTCACAAAAGCGTTGGTTCTTTCAGCTGAGTTTTGCTCAGCTTCTGTCTGCTTCCTGGTTCCCCATATGGTCATTGCCCTACACCTACTCCCCATTGTTATCTTGGGCCAGATGCCAGACTGATGGGGCTGCCATCCTGAGCTGTGAACCCCACAATGTAAGTCAAATTTAAACCTTTTTCTTTCGAAGAGACTCTCCTCCAAGTATTTTAGTTAAAGTAACACAAATGTGACTGACACAATAATACAGAACTTGCAGGCTGATAGAGTAAGGGGTTATATGCAATGTGTTTAAAGCAATGCTCAGCAGGTGTAGCCTTCAATTTATGATAGTTCTTGATTTTACTAGTGTAGGGTGGGCCACTAAATGTTATAGGCAATGTGGGGAAACAGTTTGATCTTCAAGGAATCTATTTAGAAGACAGAACAAACACAGCAGCCTTTGAAGCAACTCAGCAGGCTTCTTTTGGAAACACTTGTTTTGCATTTGGCTTCCAGGGAAAATGTCTGGTTTTCCTCCTACTTCACTAACGACCTCTTCCCAGCCTCTTTTTCATATTCATGATGATTTACATTACCGTTTTACCTCTGCCCATAATCCCTAGCCTGATCTTGGCCCTCCTTCTTCCAACTTTCTTCTCTGGTGTTGCCACAGGGACCACTAGTAGTCTTCTCAGACTCCACACACCCCAACCTGAATTCCTGATGCTCTCACTCTGCCACTGCCTGCTTCTGGGCCCTATCTGACTCTTCTAGTAGACAGCAGTGATCTCCTTCCAGGCTGACAGGCCATAGATGGTGCTATTTTGAGAGAGCAGGGAGACAGACAGAGCTCCTGTCAGCCAATTTACTCCCCCAGATGTCTGCACTAGGAGTCTGCTGCATGAGTGGCAGAGAACTGTATCTTGGAACCATCACTTGCTTCCTCCTGGGGTATATATTAGCAGGAAGCTAGAGCTAGGCATCAAACCCAAGTGCTTCAAATGTCTTGGAGTCTTATTTCTAACCAAAACAGGCTATAGTCTCTTAACAAAAAAATTAGAGAACGTATATACATATGTATGTATGTATGCATATATACATATACAATATATAGTATTGTATAACCTGCATAATCACAACAGATCTCCAACTCTTTGAATTTACCTTCCTCATTTCAGCCAATCCTTCCCACATGATGTCATTTTATTTTTTTAAGACTTATTTATTTTATTACAAAGTCAGATATACAGAGAGGAGGAGAGACAGAGAGGAAGATCTTCTGTGCATTGATTCACTCCCCAAGTGGCCGCAATGGCCAGAGCTGAGCCGATCCGGAGCCAGGAGCCAAGACCCTCCTCTGGGTCACCAACGTGGGTGCAGGGTCCCAAGGCTCTGGGCTGTCCTCAGGCCACAGGCAGGGGAGCTTGCATGCACCTGGATCCTATATGGGCACTGTTCTAATCCCTGAGGCCCCGCTTCCCATCCAGCTCCCTGCTTGGATGTATGGGATCATTTTGTTTGGGATCATTTTGTTGCAAATGGTAGAATTTCATTCTTTTTAATGGCTGGTTAGTATTTCATTGAGTAGATGCCCACAGTTTCTTATTCTATTCCTTTTTTGACAGGCCTCTGGGTTGTTTCCATGTCTTTGCTATTATAGAATGTACTGCAAAATAGAGTGATTGATGGTTAGTTAGAATAACACAAAATTTTCTCTCTTTTTTTCCAGATTATTATGGGAATATCTTAGTAAAAATGGAAAATAATGTGATTTTTTTTTTCAAGATTTACAGTATAGATACAATAAAACTGCATACATGGTTAAGTGAAAAAATAAAGTCATTATTTCTTCTGAGCACATCTGGTGAAATACATCTCCTGGAGGCTTTGGACAATGGTACAATAAAAACAGCGGAATATCCCTTAAGTCTGGAAATACAGAGTGTAGCTTTTAAAGCAAAAGACACATGCCCATTCTTGGCATTTCATAATAATGTTTATAATATGTTTTACATTATTGATAAGAGAGACGTCCTGAAAGTTTGGGCTAAAGTAGTCTATCCAGAAAATACTGGTGTGTACATCCTTGTGGAAACCTACGGTCCACGAATATTAACAATAAATGAATACCTTTTCTATGAAATTGCATTAGGATTCTTCACTAAAACTCTGGTAAGTTAATATTTTTAATTCATTGTTATTTTAATAGATATAAAAGTAGAATGTTAATCAGTTGTGTCAAAACACCATGCACCAGCATCTCATCTAGATGCTGGTTCGTGTCCTGGCTGCTCTGCTTCCCATCCAGCTCCCTGCTTGTAGCCTGGGAAAGCAGTGGAGGATGGCCCAAAGCCTTGGGACCCACACGGGATACCCAGAAGTAGCTCCTGGCTCTGGCTTCAGACCAACTCAGTTCTGGTAGTTGCTGCCATTTGGGGAGTGAGCCAGTGATGGAAGATCTTTCTCTCCTCTCTATAAATCTACCTTTCCAATACAAATAGATCTTTAAAAAAAGAATATTTATATATTTTTTTAGATTTTTTTTTTTATTGGAAAGGCAAATATACAGAGAGGAGGAGAGACAGAGTGGAAGATCTTCTGTCCAATGGTTCACTCCTGAAGTGACCGCAATGGCTGGAGCTGAGCCAATCTGAAGCCAGGAACCAGGAGCCTCCTCCGGACCTCCCATGTGGGTGCAGGACCCCAACAGTTTGGGCCATCCTTGACTGCTTTCCCAAGCCACAAGCAGGGAGCTGGATGGGAAGTGGGGTTGCCAGGATTGGAACCGGCGCCCATATGGGATCCCAGTGCGTGCAAAGCGAGAACTTAACCAGCATGCTATTGTGCCAGGCCCAGAATATTTATATTTTTATCAGCATACTTCCCTTTAGGTTTAACTTGGGAAATTAAAAAATATGTAAATTTTTAATAAATTATAATACAGCAAGCCATTAATTCCTCAGCCACAATTATCACTTTCCATTATCCAAGGGAAAAAAAAAGAACATATTCTTTCAAAACTCCTAGATTTCCAATTGTATTGTTTGCCTGTATCTGGTTACTGTAGATATGGATGAATGCTATAGACTGGATAGTGTATCAAAAGCAAAGGATTACTTGGTATACAATTCTGGAGCCTGGGAGGTTTGAGAGCATGGCCTCAACCTCTGGCAGTCTTCCTGGCAGAGGGCATCCCACAGTGAGCAGCCTACCAAAGCTACTCTGTGATACCCTATTTCCTCATGACCAAAGGCACCCTCTTCAAATACTATTAGCCTGTAAGTTTGGGGATTAAGTTTCCAACATGTGAGCTTTCAAGGAACACATTCAAGTCATAATAACTTCTTTTTCTAACATATAGCTTTTTTTTTTTCAGTTCTGTTATCTATTGTAGTGTAAGAAGCCACCTCAAAATCTAAAGGCTTCAAACAAAATCCAGTTCTGTAGGTCAACAATTTGGGCTCTGCGAAGTAGCTCTGCTTATATTACTGGGCTTCAGTCCAGGGGCTGTGATCACTTCACGGCCCATCTGGGAAGGAGTGATGTACAATGGACTCATTGACATGTCAGATTGGTGCTGGCACTGGCTTACTGATCTAAGGGTCATCAGCCGAAGTAGTTCTCCCTGCCCTGTGTAGAGGAGGTCCAGCCTGGAAGATAATCCTGGCTTCTCTATATTGATGTCTCAAGCTAGTGTTGCAACATGGTAAGAACAAAAGCGGAAAGGCCTATGGAGGCCTAGATTTGGCCACCTGCTAAGTTAGTCAAACCAGATCACAAGGCCAGCCCTAACACATGTGCTGGAGAAACAGACTCGACGTCTCATGGAGATGCCGCAAAGCTGCGCTGTTAGAGACATGCACACAGGAAACAGGGGTTACTGCAGTCATCTTTACACAATATCATAACAGACATAGTCCTAAACTATATACATTGCTATATTTTCTAATCAGTATAATAAGCACTGTACATGTGACTTAAATTTATTACAAAAAATTATGCAACCCAAATCGCAGTTTCTATCTCCTTGTTCCGCTTTATAGGTTCAACCTAGTTAAACAAACAGACTTCAGAAAGTTCATGGAAAACTGGCATTAAAAGATAAGCTTATTATGGTACAGATGGTGAAATTGATGCATATGACGAGTTTTCAAAAGTTTTATGGAGTTATTTCTTCTGAAGAAATTATGCATGAATTTACAATTTTTTGCACCAGAATTAACTAATTTCTAATTCCATTTTTTCTGAACTTGGAAAAAAACAACATCATGCAATAGGCAATCTCTTATCTGATATACGATAGTGAAAAGTATTAAGTCAGATCCAAAGTTAGCCTAAGCAGAAAATCATAAAAAGTGAAACTTTTTTCTTTAACTTAAATGAATGAATGTGTATTTCTTAGTTTTTTTTTTATTAATACAAAGGAAACAGATTTTATGTGTTTCAAAGATGCAATTCTGAGAACATAGCAATACTTCCCTTTTCTCCCCCATTAGGCCTTCTAGCTACCTATCTGTGTCTCTCAGCTGTATCTCCCTTTTCCCGTGTCCTTCTCTGTCTCTCCCCATCTCCATCCCTGTCTCTATCTCTGTTTCTGTCTCTGAGTCTCTGTTCCCATCTGCATTAAGCTCTCTCAGCTTCCATACTGTCCCCACTTCCTTGCTCTGCCAAGGCTCTCAGCCAGCGTCACCAGATGCCAAAACAGTGAGGCCATCTGATGTTATACTCAAACTTCCAAAACTGCCAGCCAAATAAGTCATTTCTCATTGTAAAGTTAGTTACCCTAGATGTTTTTTGCTGTAGTGATGAATAATTAGCAAATACATGGAGAAACTGAAGTTCTAGATATTTATAATTTGTATATAGGTTTTAAAAAGATTTATTTATTTATTTATTTGAAAAGCAGAGTAACACAGGAAGAAGGAGGAGAGGAAGAAAAAGAAAGGAGGGAATATCTTTCATCTACTGGTTCACTCCTCGAATAACCACAATGACCAGGACTGAGCCCGGTGGATGTCAGAAACCAGGAACTCCATTCCTGTTTCCCATATGAGTGGCAGGGACCCAGGCACTTTGGCCATCCTCTGGTACCTTCCCAGGGAGTTGAATCAGAAGCAGAGTAGCCAGGACTCACTCCAATATGGGATGCCAGGTTTGCAAGTGGTAACAATTTCATTCACTGCACCACCATGCTGGCCACTATAATCCCTTTAAGTCATCAGAAGGGGGCCAGCATGGTAGTGCATCAGGTTAATCGTTTGACCTGTGCTGCCAGCACCCCATATGGATGCCAGTTTATGTTCCAACTGCTCCACTTCTGATCTAGCTCTTTGCTTATCACCTGGGAAAGCAGCAGAAGATGGCCCAAGTCCTTGCGATCTTGCATCCACATGGGAGACGCAAAAGTAGCTCAGGGCTCCCAGCTTCAGGTCAGCTCAACTCTGGCTATTGCATCCATTTGGAGACTGAGCCAGCAGATAAAAGACCTTTTCTATCTAAATCACGGTTTTAACTGCTGGACTGAACACCTGCTCCCTGAACGAACATTTCAGTCTGCCTTCAGAGAACATGTTGTGTGTTACAGTGTAGGAAAATGTGTATTATGGTGATCGACACAATGGCACGGCCTGAGGAAGGCATTTCACGTGCCCAGATGTGCAAAACCAGATGCCGCTAAAGCCAGTATCCAGTTTTCCTGCATTACATAAGTTTTTCTGTTTTCACTTTCAGTTATTAGGATTTTCTCAGAGTATAAATTATGAGGCAGCAGAGGATTACTTCAAGTTGCAGTAAGTATTAAATGTAGTACTCAGACTATTAATTTGTGGGTGTTTTATAAAAATGGTAAGCCTCAAAACCTTTTAAATACCCGAATTTCTTTTTTTAATGTTTGGAACACATGAAATTAATAAATAACTGTATAAAATGTAAAATTCTGTTTACGGCTCAATGGAAACCTGTTCTATCGGAGGGTTCTCATTCATGTCAAAGAAGATTAAAAAAATGGGCTGTTACTTAATTTAAGCATCTTCAAGCACATTTATCACTAATTCCTGTCTCAGAGTCTCTGCATGCTGTCCTAATGCAAAAGCAGCAATTCTGTTGAATCACAGAAATTCTTTGGCTGTGAGTAGAGTCCCATGAAACACCATCCCTGACTCTTGGATAATGTAGCGCTTAAGCATTTGCTTTCTATAGAAAGACAACCAACTTGGCATTGTATTTGAAGGTACTTGTATGATTATCTTTATAATTTGAAATTATTTTCTGGAAAAATAGCATTTTTTCCCTAAGAAAATGTCCATTTTTTCTTCAGTCTTCTTCTAATTTAAACAATATTGAGTGTATGTATGTTCCATGGCAAGCATTTTCAAGGTTTTCAAAGTAACATGATAAACAAAAAGCATTAAGCGCTGGTGTCATGGACTTTATCTTCAATGGCAGAACAAACTGCCAGTAACCAAATAAAATCATGTGACAGTGACCAGGAAGGGGAGAGAAAAAAGCACCAACTTGGACAGAATAGTCGTCAGAAGCTCCATTCAATCCCTTGCCACATATCTTTCTCTTTTTGATAGTATGGGGCCCTTTGTGTGGGCTTGGTTTTGCAAATATTTACTCAGAACCATGCTGCTGTAGAATGCACATCCGATTAGTCAAGCTGGTGCATGCCTGTGTGTTTGCAAAAAGTAAAAAGCTTGGCAGGTATGATGTACAAGTGAAACTTTCCAAATTTCTTCTGTTACTTTTGAGCTCTCTCCTTTTGTCTGAGTATAAAAAAAAAGTTGCTTATTAGAACAAAAAACAAAGAACAAAAAAGTTGCTAATAAGTACAGCAACTTTAAAAAAATATTTATTTATTTTTATTAGAAAGATTTACAACGAGAAGGAAGGACAACCAGGAAGATCTTGCATTTCCTGATTCACTCGCCAAGAGGCTACAATGGCCAGACCGGAGCAGATCCGAAGCCAGGAGCCAGGAGCCTCTTCTGGGTCTCCCATGTGGGTGCAGGGTCCCAAGGCTTTGGACTGTCCTTGACTGCTTTTCCAGGCCACAATCAGGGAGCTAGATCGGAAGTGGAGCAGCTGGGATTAGAACTGGCGCCCATATGGGATCCCGGCACATTCAAGGCGAGGACTTTAGCTGCTAGGCCACTGTGCTGGGTCCCTCCAACATGGTAATGTTGAGAAACGGTTCCCCACTTTAACTCTTTAAGAGGTGGGAGCTAGTCAAAGGTTATTGAAGGTACTGCCTTTAGAAGGGATTAACATAATTTTGCAAGCTCTTTGTTAGTTCTCCCAAAAACTGGTCACCATAAGTGGCTGAGCTTGCTCTGGTTCACATTCAGTTGTCTGCCCTGCAGTTGTTTCATGACTTACTCTAAATTGTTCAAACATGGAACATCATGAGGTGGAAGCAGCTTTACAACATGAGGACCTAACACCAGCACCGCCCTCCAAGCCTCCAGGCTGCTCACCAGGCTCCATCTCAGCATGCGTACTTGTCATTCATCATGCCTTTCCTCTCCTGTGACTCCCTCCATGAGTTGTGTGTTGTTGTTTTTTTTTCCTTAGAAACGAGAATACTGGTGCTGTGTTTGTTAATCTTCGACCTAGTAAATATTCAAAAGCATGCACAGCATCCCAAAAGGTAAGTGAAATTGGTTGAAGAAGAAAAAAAAATGTGTTAGTGATAAGCAAAATAACAGATATTACCTCCACATAACACCACTCCCTTGTTATTTAGCAACACCTACAATGCTTCCCTGTAAGGTTGGCATTTTATTTTGACTACAGAAGGTAAGATTTCTGCCTTCTGTGAATGCATTGTCTAAGGGGGATTATACAAGTAAATGTATATAAAATATAAAATTGTGAGAGTTCAAAGATTGAAAGATAAATAGAACTGTAAAAGAAAACTAAAATTAATGGGAAAAACTAAAATTGAATATGGTTTGTCAGGACTGCAAGTCATGTCCATATTTACCCTGTTTATTTATTCAAAAGATTTATCACTTGCTCATTCAGAAAGCTTGTTTTCTGTATGTGATTGTTTCTGTGCTTCAGTATACATGTTAGGTAGTTAGAATTAGGAAGATGAAAAGATAAAGTGTCTCCTCTGGAGGCAAACAAAACTAGATTTGGTTAAGCTGCCTGTGTCCCAGGAGTTTCTGGGTTTAAGTTCTAACTTGCACTTGGCTCTAGTTTTGTGCTAAAGCAGAGCATGGGAGCCAGCTCAATTAGCTTAGTCCCTATTACTAATACAGGAGGCACAGATTGAGTTCCCAGCTCCTGGCTTTGCCTTAGGCCACCCTGGCCATTGCAAGCATGTAGTCAGTGAGTCAGTGGCTGAGAGAGCTCTCTCCCTCACACAAGTAAATTAAGAGGCATAGGTACAAGTAGCTCAAAGGAAACAGTAGCAATTATGATTGGAGGAAGAAAAGCAAAAAGAACAGCTACATAAGTGACTGCTGAAGAAAGAAGTTCCCGCAGGCAAGTACAAAGGGAATTCCAGGATCAAACTGTGGACAAAAGGTATGAAATAGTAACAGGTCATTCAAGCCTCCAGAAGTATTATGACACTAAAAACAAATTCTTCACAACCCCACCTCCACACTAGAAAATGCTTCATTTCTTATTCCTTCTCAGCCTAATATTCAGCAAGCATATATTGGGTGCCTCCTATATACCAGGCATTGTGTTATACTTGGAGAATACAAACTGCAGTGGGCATTGATCCCTGCCTGTCAGGACCCTATCACGACGCGTCTATTCCTACCGGGACAGGATTCGCCAAATTTAGGGAGAACGCTGACTAAGGCAGATGTGGTCTTCTCCTCCTCCTCCTTCCTCTTGTTTGGTTTTATTCATTTATTGAAAGCAAGAGAGAGATCTTCCATCTACTGGGTCACTCCCCACATGGCTACAACAATCAAGGCTTAACCAGGCTGAAGCCAGGAGCCAGGAACTTCATCTGGGTCTCCTACATGGGTGGCAGGAGCACAAGGACTTGCATCATTTTTCCACTACTTTCTCAGGTGCATTACTGGGGATCTGGATGGGAAGTTGAGCAACCAGGACCCAAACCAGCACATATATGGGATGCCAGCATCATAGACAACAACTTTACCCTGTAGTTCACAATGCTGGCCCCAAGGCAGATACTTCTAATCTGAGTTTCCATCCAAACCGTATCGCTCACTCTCTGGACAAGCTACTTCAATACTTTTGAGTCTCTGCTGTCTCATTTGTGAAAGGGGAGAAATGTAACTTCTGTCTCACATGATTATGCAGAGTATTAAATGATATTGTCTGAGTGCCTGTCACAGGGTCATTACCTGGCAGTACTGGTTTCCTCCTGTTCTGTCCCCTTCGTCCTTCCCTCACTCCCAGGCCAGGATATTTCATGCAGCCACTTCCTGGGCCACTGTGGAGGTCAGTGTTGACCCCCCTCACTGAAATAGAAACCTGGGATAGTCCTTTAAGCAAAAGGAAAATGTGACCTTGTGGAAGGCAGCACTCCAATCAGCCAAGGCGATCAATACCTGTACACCTGTACACATCTGCATAACTTGCTCAGCTCCAGTGCCTCATCTTCAGGCTCCTGGACAAGCATGTCCCCGGCCTGCAGCTAAATGTGGGACACAGGGGCCCAGCTCTGCATGTATTCAGAACCATGGCCCACAGAATTCTCCAGCTGAAACAAGTTCAGCCATTGTCAAACTTGCTCGACCGGATGGGTGTGGGCGGACCCACTGGAATGGAAAGGAGCCTGTCTTCTTTGTCACTTTGTCATCTGAGCCAAGCAGCAGAGCACCAACAAAACCCACAGCTCCAACAAGGTGGCATCCCACTTTCAAAGCCAGTGCCAACAGCCAGAAAGGTAGACATACAGACCAGCCCCAGAGGGTCTCTATGATCACTTCCAAAATGAAACTTCCAAAGGGAGAGAAAAATCTTAACTCTGTCTCATGTGTTCCTCTGTGGGACACCTGTAGAATTTCTGTTTCCCATCAAGTGCATTGTGGAGCATGGCGTGGGGAAGACAGGAAATGTGCTAGACCTATCATAGCACTCCAGAAAAATTTGTTTGCCTGTTTGAGGGCTAGTTTTTTGCACATCAAGTGACATTCTTGGTAATTTCCTGTCTAAGAAACAAAGTGTCATGGCACAACATGTCTGTGATGATATTTGTGGATTTTGCACTAGACTGTTTACTTCCAGAGAAGCATGGCCTGTGTTAACAACACTTCACAGTCCTGGGGTTCAGTGCAGTGGCTTAATTGGCTAATCCTTCTCTTTAAGCACCAGGATCCCATAGGGGTGCGGATTCATGTCCCGGCTATTCTACTTCCCATCCAGCTCCTTGCTGGTTGCCTGGGAAAGTAGTGGAGGATAGTTCAAAACCTTGGGACCCTGCACCCACATGGGAGACCCAGAAACTCCTGGCTCCTGGCTTCAGATGAGCTTAGCTCTGGCCATTGCACCTGTAGCTGACACTGTAGGACAATTTATCATGTTTTCTGTGTTATGTTATAGGATCCACAGGCAGTTTGTTTTCAAACCACACACATATATACAATTTTTTTTAACAAGTTAAGAAGGGTCATAATTGTGGCACAGCACATTAAACCAATGCCTGTGACAGTCACACCCCATATGAGTGCCAGTTTGAGCCTAAGCTGCTCCACTTCCAATCCAGCTCCTTGTTAATGTGCCAAGAAAGGCAGCAGAAGATAGGTCAAGTGGTTTGTCTCCTATCATCCAGTGTGGGAGATCTGGATAGAGTTTCAAGCTGCTAGCTCTGGACTGGCCTAGATCTGGCTGTTGTGACCATTTGGGGAGTAAGCCAGTGGGTGGAAGATTAGATAGATAGATAGATAGATAGATAGATAGATAGATAGATAGATAGATAGATAATCTTCTCATCACTCTCTGTAACTCTTTTAAAAAATGAGTAAGTCTTTAAAACAAACAAATAAATAGGATCTGGAACAATGGATCAATTTGCTAATCCTTCCATTGTAAGAACCAGCATCCCATATGGGCACCAGTTCTTGACCTGGCTGCTCCACTTCCCATCCAGCTCCCTGCTTGTGACCTGGGAAAGCAGTCAAGTTTGGCCCAAAGCCTTAGGATCCTATACCCGCACTGGAGACCTGGAGAAAGTTCCTGGCTCCTGGCTTTGGATAGGTGCAGCTCCAGCCATTGCAGTCACTTGGGGAGTGAATCATCAGATGGAAGATCTTCCTCTCTGTATATCCAACTTTGCAATAAAAATAAATGAATCTAAAAAAAAAAAAAAGGAATGTATTCTTTCTTTTTTTTCTTTTTTTTTTTAAAGATTTATTTATTTATTGGAAAGTCAGATATACAGAGAGGAGGAGAGACAGAGAGGAATATCTTCCTTCCGATGATTCACTCCCCAAGTGAGCGCAACAGCCGATGCTATGCCGATCCGAAGCCAGGATTCAGGAATTTCTTCCGGATCCCACAGGGGTGCAGGGTCCCAAGCCTTTAGGCCGTCCTCGACTGCTTTCCCAGGCCACAAGCAGGGAGCTGGATGGGAAGTGTAGCTGCCGGGATTAGATCCAGCGCCCATATGGGATCCCGGGCGCAGTGCGTTCAATGCGAGGACCTTAGCCGCTAGGCCACGCCGCTGGGCCCAGAATGTATTCTTTCATTAAAAAAAGAAAAAGAGTAATGGTTAAAACAAATATCCATAAAACACAGAATTAGGGCAAAAGTTTTATACTTACTGCCTGAGAGGTGGCACTATGGCACATCAGGTTAAGCCACTGCCTGCCACACCAGCATCCCATATCGGAGCTCTGGGTCAGTACCAGCTGCTCTGCTTCCAACCCAGCTCCACACTAATGTTCCTTGAAAATCAGAGGAAGATGACTGCTGAGCCTGGGTCCCTGACACCCACAGGGAGAACCAGATGGAACTCCTGACTCCTGTCCTTGGTCTGGCCCTCACTGGCCATTGCAGACATTTAAAGAGTGGGCCAGCAGCTAGAAAATTCTTGCTTGTTCTTTCTCTCGCTCTCTCTCTCTCCTTTACCCTCTCCTCTCTCTGTCATTCTGCTTTTCAAATAAAACCTATCTTTTTTTTTTAAAGAGTGATAACCATTTTATTTACAATGGAAATTATGATGAATGTCAGCATAATTGTATCAAAGTACTGAGTTTAGCAAACTTTACAGGTAGTAATTTAGCTAATATATCTTTTAAATACCATACTTATGAAAGAATATTTTAAAAAGTCAGGGGGGAAATGGACTTATTTTGACGCAGAAAAATAAATCCAAAAAATAGTTGGCCTGTTGCCAATGTTCTTACCAATACTGAATGTTGCTACTTCAAGTAAGAATTTAAGAAATGAGATGCTATTTTACATCAATACCATGATAATCTAGTGGTTTACTAGGACGAAGGGGACAAAAGATAAGTAGCTGGATATATCATAGAAATATGCCATCTGAATCAGGATATTGGATACAGATGAGTCCAATTAGTCTAGGTGTTTTTAGCCACAAACCCAGTTTCTGTTCCTGCCCAGGCTAACCAGCACTATTCAACTCCTTAGCCCACAACAGACTCCGATATTGAAAAGGTCATTATAGGTGGCCATCCCTAATTACCCACCCACTGCAACATCTGAAACATTTTTTGAGTGCTACCATGATACTACATGAGGAAAATTACACACCTAGCTCCATGAGATAGATCATGTCCAGGTGCATCATCTGTAAGATTCATTTCTGTCTGGGGTGAACTTTGTGATACATTAGGTTAAGTTGCTACTTGCAATACTCACATTCCATATGGAGTGCCTGGTTCAAGTTCAGCTTCTCCAGGCTTCCAACCCAGCTTCCTGCCAAAGCACCTGAGAGATGCTTAAGTATTTCTTCCTTGCATCTCACACAGGAGACTCAGATGGAGTTCCAAGCTCTTGGCTCCCTCCCGGCCTAGCCCTAGTGACTATGAGCCTTTAGGGATTAAGCCAGTGGATGAAAGATGCATCTCTCAGTCTCTTTCTGCCTTTCAGAGAAATAAAGCTTTTTTAAAACTTGCCTCTGCCCATGAATATAAGTGTATACAAAAACAAACTTATTTCATATTTAGACTTTGGTCATACTCATACCATCATTACCTTTACGCCAGTGTTTCAGAGTATTTAAAATACTTCTGTTCCCAAGCAGTGTGAGTAGGGGACACTCAACCTGTTGTGTCAAATCAAAATGGTGACTATTTTCAGCTGTATTGATATTTTAGCTCATGTGAATCAGAACTGCTAAATTCACTACCTAAACTATTTCATTTTAGGTGTTCCAAATAGCTGTTGGCTGCGACATTAGTAAATTCATTAGGGTCAAAGGGTAAGTTTATTTTCATCTGACTTGTCTTAGTCTTTATGTTTTAAAACAGTGAACAAAGTGGCATTCACTAGTAATATAATGTGTTAGCCTAATTACATTCATAATGAATTCAACACTGTATTGAGGGCTGGGCATTTAGAAACATTTGTGAAGTTAAATTTTTTTAAAGATTAATTTTTATTATTTTTTTATTGGAAAGGTGGATATACAGAGAGGAGAGACAGAGAGGAAGATCTTCCATCCGGTGATTCACTCCCTAAGTGAGCACAACGGCCGATGCCATTCCAATCCGAAGCCAGGAGCCTCTTCCGGGTCTCCTGCACAGGTGCAGGGTCTTAAAGCTTTGGGCCGTCCTCGACTGCTTTCCCAGGCCACAGGCAGGGAGCTGGAAGGGAAGCGGGGCTGCTGGGATAGAACCAGCGCCCATATGGGATCCTGGGCATGCAAGGCGAGGACCTTGACCACTTGCGCCACCACGCCGGGCCCGTGAAGTTAAATTTTAAAAAATAGAAATGCTCGGGTCACACACTGGCCTGAGAGAGCAGTGCAGGAAGGTCCAAAGCCTTGGGACCCTGAATCCATGGGAGACCCAAAAGAAGCTCCTGGCTCCTGGCTTCAGGTCAGCTCAGCTCTGGTTATTGCAACTACCTGAGGAATGAACCAGTGGATGGAATATCTCTCTCCTTCTCTCTGTAAACCTGCCTTGCAAATAAAAATAAATCTTTTAAAAATGTAAATGTTATATATATGTATAGCCTGGCATTGTAGCCTAATGGTTAAAGTCCTCACCTTGTATACACCAGATTCCCATATGAGTGCCAGTTCATATCCCAGCTGCTCCACTTCCCACCCATCTCCCTGCTTGTGGCCTGGGAAAGCAATTGAGGACAGCCAAGAGCCTTGGGATCCTCACCTGCATGGGAAACCCAGAAGAAACTCCATGCTCCTGGCTTTGGATTGGCTCAGCACCAGCCATTGCAGCCACCTGGGGAGTGAACCAGTGGATGGAAGCTCTTTCTGTCTCTCCTTCTCTCTGTAAATCTTTTAAAAATGTATATATATTTAAGGAATGGTATTTAACTTCATTTTTTTTTTTTTTGCAGATTTCACAAAAAGAACTGTCTTCACCATGACTTTTCTTATGTGATTGACAAGTAAGAAATAGTATTTAACATAAATACTAAATTTTATATTGATGTATTACCAATAATTTACAGTCAGTATTTATTCACTCTACTCCTATTAACATCCATGTATGTTTAGCTTGACATTGCACAATTTTAGCATTAAACGAAATGTGTCAACACTATAATTGCCTTATTGAAAATATTCACGAGAAAGAATCATAGTCTGTTCCATTAATGCAATTGGATTTAAGGGAAAAAAAAGCAAGTCTTACCCATCTATTTGTATTCTCAAAACCTATATTGCTCCCACCATTATAGGAAAAACTTGAGGATATTTTTCTGCTCCAGAGTTTTTGTCTAATTCTATCTGACTGTAGTTAAATTAGAAGTTATGGATTTACCAGAAAAATTTTGACATTAAATACTCTGCTAACTATGTGTTATATTTTGTATTTAATTTTACAAATATGTGGATACTATGATTTCTTAAAGAGTAATTAAGCATGGCATGATAGCCTAGTGGCTAAATTCTCGCCTTGCATGTGCTGGGATCCCATATGGGCACTGGTTCGTGTCCTGGCTGCTCCACTTCCCATCTGCTCTCTGTTGCCTGGGAAAGCGGTGGAGGATGCCCCAAAACTTTGGGACCCTGGACTTGTGTGAGGGACTTGGAAAAAGCTCCTGGCTCCTGGCTTCAGATCAGCTCAGCTCTGGTTGTAGTGGCTTCTTAGGGAGTAAACCAACAGATGAAAGATCTTTCTCTATATATATCCTTCTCTCTTTAAATAGAATGTCTGCCTTTCCAATAAAAATAAATAAATTTTTAAAAATAATTAAGCAAAATTAATTTTTATCTTTATTTTTAAATTTATCATGCTGAGAAAAATGTGGAAGTCCATGTCCCTGAAATATGTAAAAGAACCGTTGAGAAAGCTGAAATTTTCTAATTCTGCTTCATTAAAATAAGTGAAACAATGTTTAACATCCCTTAAGTGACTTTATTAAATCTCAAGAAGGTCAGGAAGGAAGTGGTGGCAAGCTCAAATGTTCCCAGCTTGCTAAACTTGAGGAAGGCACTTGGTAAAATGGAACAGTGAGAAATAATCATTGAACAGTTGGTGAGGACGCTGCTTTTTGGTGTCCATGTGGCAGCTGCACCCAAGATTATAAAATAAGCTGCATGCCTGGGATGTCAGTTCCCTGAGTCTGTACCTTGGAGCGTGAGAACACAACGGCTTTGAGGACTGACAAGGCAGGAAATGTGTGGTGGAGGGTGCTTCTGTTTCCTGGACAGGATGGATTCTGTTGAGAAATCTAAGGAGGTAGCTGAGGTTGAAAATACACATCCAGTGTTGCAGATTGTGACGTACCTTTCACTTGCATCTGTTAACATCCTGGGAAGAAACGCCTTAGAATAGCACAGTGCACATCAGCTTTAAAGCTGTTCATCCTTCTCAGAGTGTGACAAAGTTTGTAGTCTTGAACAACTTTCATATAATTTCTGAGACTAGTGCAATGTCTACAGCGGAGGGCAAGAGTGCAGTAAGCATACATTAATATGTGTCAAGTTGCCTGAAACTTAGTAAGCATTCAGTATTTTATGATTCCATTCATCCATTGACTTCTGTTGTATCTTCTTACTGCTAAAAAAAAAAGTCATAGTTTAGTGTTTAAGTTTGGAAAAAAGAAAATGATCATGAGAAAGTGTCTCTCTTTCTCTTTTTTTTTTTTACAGGTCATATCTGAGGGATCGACCATCTAAAAACTTGGTAAGAAAGTTGTAATTTGGAGTACTGTGTGGTAGCTTAACAGGTTAATCTCCCCTTGCAAGCACTAGGATTCCATACGGGTGCTGATTCATATCTTGCTACTGCACTTCCCATCCAGCTCCCTGCTTGTGACCTGGGAAAGCATTGAAAGATGGCCCAAAGCCTTGGGACCCTATGTCTGTGTGGGAGACCCAGGAGAAGCTCCTGGTTCCTGGCTTCAGATCAACTCAGTGCCAGATATTGTAGAACCATCTGGGTAGTGAACGAGTGGATTGAATATCTTTCTGTCTCTTCTTCTCTCTGTAGATCTGCCTTTCAAATAAAAAAATAATAAATCTTTTTTGAAAGAAAATTGTAATTTTACTTATGGTCCAAATATGTAAAATAACTAAAACAATTTTTCCTTTTCTAGAAAGTAAGATATGCCTGGGAACTCTATGGCTGCCCCAAGAGGCTAAATTTTACAGAAAAGTTCCAACCTGTGATTCAATTGTAAGTATACACTCATCAAAATTACTAACTTATTTCAAAAGTTTGAAAATAAAATTTGAGAACAAGATAAATTACTCATGCATGTAATAATGTAAATATTTTTGAGTACTCAATAAGACTTGGTTTCTTTAGAGAGTGTGACAGATAGACAAACAGATGAAGATTTTCCATCTATTGGTTCACCCTCTATATGGTTGCAAAAAGCCAGGAACTGGGAGCTTCATCCAGGTCCCCCACATGAGTTAGGGACCCAAGCACTGGGTCATCCTGTGCTGCCTTCCCTGGCATGTTAGCAGAGAGCTATGTCGAAAGTAGAACAGTAGACAGTTCCACTTCCCATCCAGCTCCCTCCTTATGCCCTGGAAAGCAGTGGAGATGACCCAAGACCCTGGGATCCTGAAACTGAATGGAAGACCCAGAAGAGGCTCCTGATTCCTGGATTCAGATTGGCTCAGCTCTGGCCTTTGCAGCCATCCGGAGAGTGAAATACCAGATGGAAGATCTTTTGCTTTGTCTCACCTTTTCTCTGTTAAAAAAAAAAAAAATAGAGCAGCAGGAACTTAAACCATCACCCATGTGGGACCCTGGCAATGTAAGCAATGACTTAGTCCACTGTGCCTCAACACCAGACCCAAGATTGATTTTTAGTAGTAGTTAAATGTAGTTTCTAACAGTTGAGAAAGGATGCAATGGAATAGCTGAAACCCAGGAGGATAAGATTTCTTTCTTTTTTTTTTCCTTTTTTAAGATTTATTTTATTTTTATTGGAAAGGCAGATATACAGAGAGGAGGAGAGACAGAGAGGAAGATCTTCTGTCTGATGATTCACTCCCCAAGTGAGCGCAACGGCCGATGCTATGCCAATCCAAAGCCAGGATCCAGGAACTTCTTCCTGGTATCCCACACAGGTGCAGAGTCCCAAGGCTTTGGGCTGTCCTCGACTACTTTCCCAAGCCACAATCAGGGAGCTGGATAGGAAGTGGAGCTGCTGGGATCAGAACCGGCGCCCATATGGGATCCCGGCGCAGTGCGTTCAAGATGAGGACTTTAGCCGCTAGGCCACGCCGCCGGGCCCCAATACAAAACTTAAAATGCAGAAAACTACGAGAGGCAAGTGTCCCATTTCCACTATTTTAGGCATTCTAAATGAAATTGTGATGACTATGTAATGACTTACCTGTTTGGACACCTGTCCAGTTATACTGTGAGGGGAAATGACTACAAGTGGAATTTCTATCCTACAACACTAAAATTTTAGTCAAGAAAGACCTTGAGCTTTTAGGGACCTCTTGTGGGGGAGGGATGCTTTCTGAGATCTCAGGGTGTGTTGGTGTACAAGTCATGAATCAAGAGCTCCGAATTCGTTTTGCCACCCACCATTTCCCTGCTGGGACTCAGAAGATTCTGCCAGCCTGTTCTGCTCCCAGCGCCCCCTCCCATGGCCCTTTGAAGATTATACCTGTGCCTTTTCCTTCTGCCACCCTGCACCTACACTCCTGCCATTGTTCTCTGTGCTATCGGGCTCATCTGCCATCTTCAGTTTTGATCTTCTTCTAGACATCCAGTCATGTCAGTGTTTCTCCTGGCTGTCCAAGATATTCTTTCTTCCACTAAGGCCTATTTTTGCTTGTTCATATATTTATTGTGCAATACTTCATCCACCAGGAATTTTTTTTTTAATTAATGTTCTTTCCCAGAGATGTACAATTGTCAAACCAGCTCATCATCGTTAAACACCTTTATGTGAAGCTCTGTGTTGATACACTGGAAGTTCAAAGAAAAATCACAGGATCTTTACCCTGCCAAGCTGAAGTCTTGTGCATTGTAGACCCATAAGAGTTGGTGTGCTATGTGGAATGACAGAAAAGAATGGCATGTGGACGTGTTCAGGGACCTTCACAGGCATGTTAGCAGGGAACTGGACCAAAAGTGGAAACTTACGAAACTTATGAAACTCCAAAGAGAATAATGTGACCCAGTCATGAAAGGAGGTGAAGTCTGGAAAACTTGCATCAGAGCTTAGTCATAGAACCATAAAGAATCATGACTATCAGTAACAATAATTAGAGGCAGAGAAAGGGAGGGTAAAGCAAATTCCACAGGAAAACAAAAGCAGTATCTTTGAGCAAGAAAGTCTATAATGCAAACAACCTGATGTTACAAAGTGAGTTTGGAAGTGTCAAGGGAAAAGCTGGAAATCTCCCAGACAGAGAGGTGTTGGCAGGATCCTGTAAGGCGTTCTAGCCGTTCTGTGGCACAGTGGCATGAGCCAGTACTTATTTTGGCCAGTTAGTTGTCTCCAAGAAAATCACACAAGGTGAATTTCAGGGAACTGAGTCTAAGCAGGAAGAACAGCTAGTGACGTGCATTTAGGAATAACAGATGACTGAAAGAGAAACAAGGACAAAGAATAAAAATCATCTATGAAAAAATAGCAATTGTAATAAGCAAAACTTGGTAAGTGATACTTCTGAGTGGTAAGGAAAAGAAAATGAGGAGGGGAAACAGGTCCAAGGATGAAGATATAATCCACAAACTTGCACAAATTTCTTTTTTTAAAAGATTTATTTATTTTATTGCAAAGTCATATATACAGAAAGGAAGAGAGACAGGAAGATCTTCCGTCTGACGATTCACTCCCCTACTGACCACAATGACCAGAGCTGCGCCCATCTGAAGCCAGGAGCCTCCTCCAGGTCTCCAACGCAAGTGCAGGATCCCAAGGCTTTGGGCCATCCTTGACTGCTTTCCCAGGCCACAAGCAAAGAGCTGGATGGGAAGTGGAGCTGCCAGGATTAGAACTGGTGCCCGTATGGGATCCTGGCACGTTCAATGCAGGGACTTTAGCTGCTAGGCCATGCCGCTGGGCCCTAAATTTCCACAAAATTCTTCCCCCTCACCTGTCTATGTTCAAGTACCTGTGACCTCCGTCTTTTACTGCTGCCGGTCTCTCTGTATATTTAAGGCTTATCACTTTGTCTGGAACTAGGGTCCCACCTCCGTTCCTAACTAGAATTATTGCTTCTAAAATTCTTTACCTCTCTCTCCTGCATCATCTCCCCTATCTCCACTCCATCGCATAAAATGCAGTTCTTTCTCTCACAAAATAGACACAGAAGGCTTCTATTTCTCAACTCTTTGATTCTTTCATCTATCATACCATCTATCATGTATCAACGACTACTATCCCTTTCCATTTCCCTGCAGCCTAGCTTTTGCAGCCACCATTCCTTTGGCATGCTGGCCAACATGAGAAAGATGGGAATTCAATGACTCAGTTCAGTCACCTTCCCTGGCAGAGTAAGTGAAGAGCAGAAATAGACCAACAGTGTTCCACACATTGAGCCGCCTCCACCTAAAAGGAAATATCAAGTTGCTAATCCTCCTTAGCAATAACATAAAATGAGAAGCATTATCAGCCAAAGATTAACCCTACCAAGACAAAACAAAGCCAAAAACAATGTTCAAGAGGTAATAAGGAAATGGAATGCAGAAACAAGATCCAGAAAGAATATTCAGACAAATACAAGGACAACACAAATAGAATTATAGAAGCAATGGGAATAGGAATTTTCCAGAAGAAAGGGGGGATAAAAACATCAGTTTCAGAGAGCTAATAAGCTAGTATTTTCCACTGGATTTGGATGTTTGTGATCTTTATGAAGTGGTCTCTCTGAAGTGGTAATAACAGAAAATGATCAGCAAACCTTTAGCAATAGAAGGAAATAGAGTCCGCATTTTTTTCTTTTATTTTTTCTTTTTTATTCAGTTGAAAAGACACAGAGTTTTCCATATGCTGGTTTATCCCCAAATTCCTGTATCAGCTGTGGCTGGGCCAGGCTGAATCCAGGGCCTAGAACTCCAGATGATTTTCCCAACTAGTTGAGACAGCACCACTGCCTCCTGGGTTACATTTTATTTTTTTTATTTTTTTTTTTTAAAGATTTATTTTTATTATGTTTTTATTGGAAAGGCGGATATACAGAGGAGAGACAGAGAGGAAGATCTTCCGTCCGATGATTCACTCCCCAAGTGAGCGCAACGGGCCGATACTATGCCGATCCGAAGCCAGGAGCCTCTTCCGGGTCTCCCACACGGGTGCAGGGTCCCAAAGCTTTGGGCTGTCCTCGACTGCTTTCCCGGGCCACAGGCAGGGAGCTGGAAGGGAAGCGGGGCTGCCGAGATTAGAACCGGTGCCCATATGGGATCCCTGGCGTGCAAGGCGAGGACTTAACCACTTGCGCCACCGCGCTGGGCAACTAAAGGAGTTGGAAGCAGCTGTTCTACTACGGTCATGGATATCCCAAACAACATTCTAACCTCTGTGTCAGGAGCCCACCCCAGTCAATATTTCTCCATCTCTCACTCTCACCCTCTATGCTTTTTTTTTTAAGCCATTAGTGATAAAGCAGATTGAATTTTCTTGAGTCCTTCCCCACCCACGATAGACAGACACAACTTTCTTTTTTTGTTTTTAAGCTAAAATACTACTTTTTTTCATTTTTTGTTTTTTAATAATCTTACTTAGTTGCTTAGGGTACAAAGGGTCAAGGGCTACAGGAAAGAAGGTAAAACCATCATTTCCACACTAATGTCATCATTTTTTCCCTGTACCTAGGGTCAGGGGAGAAACAAAGGGAAAAGCCCCACCCAGCCTCCCGCCCATCCCAAGTCCCTAACGTGGAGCATGCTCCGAGGGTCCTACTCCAGTGGTTTTGATAGTTCAACAGTTCTGAATTGCTGTCAATCTCACCATTCCAAACCCGATGAAATCTCTTTAGAATCCACTGGCTGACATAGTCTCTTAATGTTGGGGTTCTGAGATCAGCAGTTCAGTTGAAGGGATTTCCAAAGAAACTTCTTCTGAGATGATCCCAGACCTGATTCTTCTGTGTGCTTGCCAGTTCAGGGTTCGGCACAGTCCATCACCCCAATTAGCTTATGCACATGCTGGTGGTTGCAATTGCTGGATCAATTCTGTTTCCAGCCCTGTCTTCCGT